ACGTAAAGTAGCCTGAGGGCTGCACCAGTGCCTGCCTGCCCGCCTGCCGGTGCCGGCCGACCGACTGCACCATGGTCTCTTCTCCGAAGACATCCGGGAAAGTGAATGCTGCAGTTTTCAAAAACCTGGGCCCTGGTCAAGACAGTCGCGAGACTATGGACTGGATTCAGCCAGCCCGCGAACTTATCCCCGCGCTACCCGCAGCTCTTGTTCGCACGCCCACCACTGGAATCGCTGGCCGATGTCAGTGACTTCCAGCAAGTCGTTTCGTGCCGCAAGTTCCAGCGATCCTCCTGCAGCGATCCTGGAGCTGAGTCTCCATCAAAGCCCTAAGTGTGTGCCGCATGTGAGGCGAGCGATCCGGAGCTGTGCCTGGCTTGCCTGGCTGTGCACATGTCTGTGAGAAACGGCAGGGGCCTTCCAGGACTTCCAGGCGGCGGACCCTACAATGCGCGATGAGTCGCTTCCAGAGGCGAGGCAGAGGGCCCTTCCAGTCTCCTCCAGCATGCCTCCAGAGGACGCTCCTCCCCTCCTCCCTGACCGTCCTGGCCGCCCCGGCAAGGCCTCGGCCAGTGCAACGCCGCGCTGGTTTCGGCGTTGTGATTTCTTGGATGTCACACGTGTTTGCCCAACAGCGCCAAATTGTAAAACGGATTACACAATGGCTCCACTGCAGGACAGCAAAAGCGGGATTCGGTTCGGGGGACGCCTTGGCGCGCCTGGGCGATGGGGAGGGGGGGCGTATGTGGGTGCAGACAGGTCCACAACGCGTGTTGGAGACGCTACCTCAGCCACCTTTCCTTCACAGCTTCCAAGGCAGCAGGTAGAAAAGGGAGCCAGAGGGGGTTTGGCTATCTCCCACAACAAGCGCATCAACTTCTTGATGCCGGTAATTTATTTCGTATTCGAGGCGATAGCTGCGTGTCCCGCGTGTCCGGCCACTCCGAATGACGTCCCAGAGGAACCAACGACCCATTGATGGATTCGGAGTGCAGCGCTCTGCAGCCATGCTGCAGCAGACACACTGCCTGAGTGTTCGTTTAGGTTGGGCAAAGACAGCTCGAGCCCGGACCGACTATTTTTGTCAGTACTGCTGGCGGTACCCACCGGCCGTTACTAATGTAATTTCAGAACCAACCGGGTGCCCCCCCCCCCGGCCGTTTCCACTCCAGAATCGTGTCATCCCGTGGGAAGAGGACTCTCCAAAAATCCACGAAGCAAGTAAAGCGTGTAACGGAATTCGCTAAGCGGGGCAAAGCTCGCAGCACACCGCCGCCGCCCGGCCCCGGTGGCCCCGGCCCACCACCCGGTCGGTCCAATTTTTTGTCCTCAGAAGACTCTCCTCTCCTCAAAGGAGAGATAAGCCTATTGAGAGCGATGTCCCGCCACCGCGGCCCGCCCCGCGTCTAGCCGTGAGTCATGGTGGGGCCGGGCACGGCGGCTGCCTGATCTAGATCAAATGGTATTGGCTCTGTACTGGTACGTCAAGTATAGAACGAACACGCTGTGCGAGTATCTCTCCAGAGTACTGTTTGTTGGGTTGCCTACAGCTGGACGGCACTAGCGACATCAACGACCGATGGCGTTGCGTAGCGCGCAGCGGCGTTGCACTTCAAGGCGTGAGGTCTGCGTTCGAATACCGGCACTCTTAATTTTCCACTTGGTTGCCGGATGACTTTTTTTGCCGCTGAGATTACCATCCCACTGGCGCCGTCGGCTGGTCCGGGCTGGCCCGCTCCGCCATCTCAGTCTAGCCCTCCCTCGTTTGACGAGCGGGATTCGGGTTTCACGACTTAAAAACCTAATAGGCGGATGAGAGGCGCAACGCCGCACGGCCCTGCTTCGCCTGCTTCGCGTGTGGGCGTGCATCGGCGGCGTGCAGGCGCCCACGTCCCGGCCGAGGTCCACCAGGCCCTGCCCGTCCCGTCGATGCAGCCCGCGGCGCGGCCCACAGGCCCACGGCGGGCCGTCCGCCCACGCGGACTCGCACTCACGCACGGCATGAGCCGAGCGCTTTCGCTCTGCGCGCACCTGGCCGAGGTGGGCAGGGCACTGGCAGGACAGGTAGGTGCGAACGACTGTAAAAACGGGGTGGGCCCAGTGGGGCCTCCTCGCAGTGTGCCACCCGGTGCCACCGCACCGCCCTTATGGGGAGCGAATCTCATCTCTTGCCTTGGGGTGGGAAGCGCGCGCGGCCCTCGGCCATTTACTTCTGCAGGGACGCGGCGGTTCGCGCCACCGCGCCATCTCAGCCGCGGTATGGACCGCCGGTGTATAAAACCTCAACATAATGCCCCGTTTTCCAGAAACCGAGGGGCAGGAATAAAAAAGGAGAGGATGGCGGGTAAAGGGTTGAGGACGACAAGGCACACGGAGTGTCCTGTCGTCCTGGGAACGCCGCCACGCCGCCGCGCCGGCACCGCGCCGAACCGAGGCAAACCGAACGCCACCGCACTCCCCCCTTTCGCTTTATGATTCCGGCTGGATTCCGGAGCCAAGCGCGTCGCCGTGCGCCGAGCAGCGCCGAGCAGGTTTCGGCTGTACTTGTTGAGAAGGTGGAAGGTGGCGGGGCGGCCGGCGGGGACCAGAGGCGCCGCTGCTCGGCCATGAAGACGCCGCCGCCGTGGCCGCCGGTCCCGGGGGTGGGTGACCATGGGTGACTCGGCGGCGGCGCGGTGGCGGCGGCGAGCTGCTCGTCTGCCCTGCTCATGGCCCTGCTGCTGCCATACTCGACGTCGTGGTCAAGCTCTGGGACTCGACGGCGTCCTCCTGGTTTGCGCGCGGCCCCCTTATTTATTCCGATTCATTGAAAGTCGCAGCCGCAGTGACATTCCCTGATTGCCCCTCGCCTCCCCACCCCGCCCCGCTGGTTCCAGGGCCCAGGCAGGCCCAGGGCGCTGACTGCGTGCTGGCCGCTGGCGCGTCCCCGCCGCCGCCGCCCTGGGTGACACCGCGCCGCACCGCCGCACCGCGACAAGTAAAGCGAAATGCACGTCGCATGCTCGGCTTTGCTCGCTTCGGATCGGCTCGCCACTTCGACCTCGCTTGGTTCGTGGCTTTTTTGGGCTCGCAAGTCCGGTTCATTAATGCAGAGTGCATTAAGGCAAAGGCGGAGGGAAGGCGGGAAGGCACTGCAAAGCGCGTGTAGGGCGGCGCAGGGCTGGGAAGCGGAGCCAGCGGGGCAGGCGAGGACTTCGCACGCTCATTTGTTTGTCTCCTTGAGATCACGGCCCGGCAAGATAATGAAACGAAATAAAATGAAAGCAACGACGCCAGCTCCCCCTTTCCCGCAAGAAAAAAAGGCTCGAAATGAATACTGAGCACGGTACTTTCCCGGAGAGGGATTCGCATCGGCTGCCTCTCCCTGCAGGTTGGCACCCCTGAGTGTCGCGCCGCGCCGCGCCGGGAACCGGGCTGAACCGGACGGGTGCCGCGGGCCGCGGGTACCGGACCGGGTACAGAGGGACCGGGTAGGACTTGCTCGTCGCCCCTCCCCCTCCTCCCCGGCTGAGTGACCAAAGCTGGCCTTGAGTCAAACACAAGCGCAGCACAGTGCGGCTAGCGTGCAGCAAGAGGGCAAAAAGGTGCAGAACAATTTACCAAGAGCAAGTATAAAGGGCCGTAAGGGCTTCCCTTGGCTCTCGCCTCGGCTTTCCTGCGTCCTCGCGTCCTGCTCGCCCCCTCGAGACACCTGCCCTTCCCTCGGCCGTGCCGCTTGCCCGCATGTACGGTACGTCCAGCAAACTCCCGCTGGGAACAAGCTGCCGACCGAATCCAGTGAAATAAAATGAAGAAAAGCCTGGCTGGGCTTAGCGAGTAGCGGCGCGGCGTGGCGGGACGTGGCGGGGCGTGGGCAGCCGAGCGAGCATCCCACTCCAGTCCGGCCGCAGAGTCAGGGCACCGAAGGGGCAGGGGCATGGCCAGCGATTTATGGCTTTGTGAAAACAAAACGAAATAACACGAATCTTGCCATACTTCTAGCGGTGGCTGTTATGTGGCTCCGCAGGGCTGGCCAGGTAAGAAGAAGAAGGTGAAGCAGGGGGCGTCTCCAAGTCACGCCGTCGTGTCGTCGAGGCGGGGGAGGGAGGGGGGCGACGAGCCATGCTCGGGCAGGACCCGGCAGAACGCCCTTCCCGCACGTCGGCAAGGAGGGCGTCGCGTTGTCCACGGCGGCTGGCGGTGTGCGGGTTGCCTGCCCGGAGGGGAGGGGGCACGCAACAGTATTTCCTGTCAGTTTACACCTCACCCGTGCCAGGTGAGTCACCTCACGGGCCGACGCGGTGCGGTGCGGCAGGGACGCCGAGACGGGCTAATGCCTCGGGATGCTGTCCACAATAAAAATTCACTCATATTATGGTTTTAGCGCCCACCTCGCCTCGCCCTGCCCCGCCCCTCAACAGCGTGTCATCCTCCCGGCCATCCCGGCCCAGCTTACCGGAGCGGAGCAGCGGGGGGAGGATTTCCGCCCCCGCGCAATCAAAAATTGGTCGGGGTGTTTGAACCCGTAAGCTGGTTCATTCATCAGCCTTTTGCTTTTCCCGGTTGAAAGTGTGGCGCCTGGAAATCTGAGATTAGAAATCGCGAATCGCGGCGCGGACGAGCGCTGCTCCGCCCCTCCCCCCTTTCACTCCTTCCACGGGCTCAAATTTCCCGCCAGCAAGTTCCGAGGAGCTGTTGACTGTTGACCGACCATTCATGCTCGCTATGCTCGCGAGGCGCTCCCGTCCCGCGTTTAGGTCTCCACGTGCTTCCGCGCTCCGCTTTGCTCCGCCTCAGCCACGAGGAGGGCTAGGCAACACAGGCAACACCAACTGGCTTGCCCGTGGTCTAGCCCGTAATGGTAATAGTAATGGAGGGTATGCAACCATGCAACCACCCCCCTACCCCCATCCCACCCACTGAGACTGTGCATACTGATCGTTAGGAGTTCATAACAAATCCATCTAAGGTGGCCCCACAATGACCGTGGGCGGACCCGGCTTCAGAGGGCACTTCTCTTTCGGAGAATGTATTTATTTCGACGAAAATTGTGACAACATGGTGAATTTGTAGCGAATTTATGGGATAGGGGCTAAACCAGACGTTACAGAGCCCTGATCCGACGGCTGAAGCCTGAAGCCCGTGTTCCGCGGCGATTGTGGGACCACCTTCAAGGTTTTTTTGAAAATTTTATTCTAGTAGGTACATGGTATAATAAATTTCTTTAACAATATGTAATATATAAACGATAAATATCTTTGAAAAAATATCACAGAACTTGGAAGCCTTGGCTTTGCATCTGCCTTTGAGCGACTTTGATGAGGACAATAAAGTGGCTTTGCAGCTGGGGATTCACATGGAAAACAATGGGAGGCCTTGCTGTGGTTGCTGCAGTGGTTTCAGCAGGTTGAACCGCACTCAACGACACACCACCATCATCAGACGAACAGCGTGATAAGTTAAGATTAGGATTTGTGTCCTCAACTTCGGGAGCAGACTGGTGTTCGATTGTCTGCATGCTAAGTGGTATGGTTGTTGAAAGTGGAACAGGACTGGCAGGGCGCACATCTTCCGATGTTTCGAGGGCTGGTGGACCGGTATTCACCACATAACGACAGCCATTGACAAAGTCCCACATTCTCTGGTCAACCTAAAAAATCAATAAAGAAAATAGACCATTAATGATGGGTTTTTTGGCCAGGCAAGTGACGAAAACAAATACAAAATTATTCAAAAAACAACTTGCCACAGGCGGAGCTCCTTTGAAGCTAATGGTGAGCATGGTAGGATCTGCATCACTTTCGGGGAGAATAATTTCACTGAGAGACAAATTGGACTCAATAGTGTCACCATCAGCTGATAGCACCATTAGGCTCTGCGGTGTCAGCATCAGTGTGACAGCCTTGAAGCGAGATGGACTAGATTCCAAGGTAGCCTCCAGTACAAGGAGACAATGTGGAGCATTTGGATGTTGGACTTTGCTGCTGTATTTGATCAAGGCACTTCTTTGGAGTTTAGTTCTCTCAGATTTTAATTGATTCTTTGGCTAAAAATATGAATTTTTTTTTTAGAATTTTTGTTAAGGTAGGGAATGACAAACCTGTTTAATGGCAAGCATAAGCCTGTTACCTTGGGCAAATTACTCCATCCAGCGCCCTGAAGGAGTCCCTGTCCAGTCATGGCTACCAGATCAGCAGCCCCACTCAGGGGTTTTGTGAAGACTCCAACCAGTCCTCGCCCGACACTAGTCACAAGCCCCTTTGGAGAAGCCTCGCCAGACAGCATTGACTGAAGTGGATGGTGAGCCAACCCTCCAACAGCACCTGGAAAATTCAAATAAAATATTCAGTCTATTCTTTCAAAAAAGACATTTTCTGGCAAATGAAATTTTTTGTATAAAATAAAGTTCCTTACCAAGCAAACTTATTCCTAGGCCTGTGAGTCCCTGCAAAAGTCCTTCTGCGACACCTTGAGGGCGCATCCGACGTAGTTCCTCTGTACGTTCTAAATGTTCAGCATCAAGAGTTAAACGGTCCAAGTTCCGAGCTACACTGGATGCCATTTTTGTGACTGAAGTTAGAGTTCCTGAACAAAGTAAGGAATTATAACAAGTGGACAGTTAGCTTTAAGCATGCTACATGCAATAATTCATTGAATCAGCACTTACCAGCGGTAAAGTGTTTCATGAGAGAAGCTGAGCCATGTGTGACTCCGACAAGGAAACCCCATGGACCTTCTAGAATTCCATGATAGGGCAGGCTGACAAAATCACGTAAGCCTGTACCTAAAGTACGAGCAAATCCACCTGGACTTCCTATGAGCTCCAATGAGCTAACCACCCAACCTGAACAGTAAACAATCAAGTGCTATATTTAACCACAACTCACACGCATGAGAATAAGTCAAGGGCAAACAGCTAATGGTACCTGCACCAAATATAGCGCCTGAAAGATAATGCATGGAAAGTGTGTGTCCCAAATTGTAAGATGTAGTAAAGACGGATCGCCGGCAGAACTGCGTGAACTGCAAGGGAGACCTGTCTAAAGCTATATATAGGCGCATACTTGAATGCACACTCAGCAGCAGCCAAATTGGGTCTAATGTTAGGGTTGTCAAACGTAATGGGCGTTTCAGGACCTGCACACATACAAATTATTAGATATTATCACAGTTTATTTTCTTAATATTCAATATTGACATGGTGAGAAAAACTCACTTGTAACTCCAAAGAAACAGGTAAGGGAGCAGGGATCCATGGTGCAGTTAACGAATTACTTTTCACTGACTCTGAATCAGCACTTTGTGCCCACATTGTTAGAAGGGGACTCAATAGAGCAAATACATGCTTTTTTAGGTCCATTACATACTTATCCTCAATATATGCAGTAATAGGTCCAATAGAGACATGAACAGTTTTAGGTACTAAAAACAGACATTACGACGAATTAGAATAACATTGACATTTAAAAGATCTCAGCAGCCTCATAAAAAACTTACTAGTCCCATTCAAACTTGACTCCAGTGTAATGTTAATAGCAAGAAGAGCTTGAGGAGAATACTTATTAACCAGTGCAGAGGCTGGTGTGCTCAGGCTTACGGGCGCAGAAGGTATCTTTTTAATATTATCTTTGTCTTGCTGACCCATCAATACAACCGGAAAATCAAAACCACCCCGTTCAAATAGCTGGTTGTCAAGTTGAAAATCTCCTAAGGTCACTTGCAGGGATAGTTCTGGTGGCTGTAAAATAATTTATAAACTGTTTTGGTAAAGTGTTTTTAAGTTCAAGTAAAAATATTGGACCTATTAACAATGTTACTTACAGAAGATTGGGAAGAACTTGGCAAGATAGGAGATGTAGTGACAGCAATTTGGTCAAGGGTCAACGCAGAGACCTCAATCTCATCAGACATTGAAACAGGAGCAGAAAGTGTCAAGGTAAAAGACTGTATGAAGACAGCCAGTTTAACAGAAGATTGCTTGTTATCTGGTGGAATTCAGGACATAAATTTATGCAGGGTAAAACAGTACAGGGGACAGAATACCAGTTGTAGAACTTACATGCAATATTGTGGCTGGAGACGATCTCCTCTTCTATGGGCCGAGGCATTTCAGAATCACTTGTGGCACAAGAACCTTGGTAGAATGAATAACAAATTTTAAGAGATATACATGAGTTGCTAATTGTGTGAAGTCATAAATATCAATTACCTTCATCTGGTGCAGCAAGTGGTTCAGGAAATTCTGGCACTGCTGAAAGGCGAGAGCGAATATCTCGAGCACAAATCTCTACTCGACTGACAGCTTCAATAGAAACATGAGTTGAATAACCCTCTGTCCAAGAATGCACCTAAAAAAAATATTGATTTTAAGGTAATTTTTGAAAACAAGTATTCATAAATAAAAAAACAACTTGACAATTTATGAAGAGTCATGAAAGAACTAACTTTGACATCTCCTCGACCAGGAATACTGATGAATTGCTCTTGCTTCCCACTCAATTGGACAGTTGGTGACCACAAAATAGCAGATCCTTAAGGAGTACCAGAAGTCATTATGGTAAAATATTGTGAAAAATAAGATGAAAAAGGAAATTAGTAAACATAAATAAATTTACCTTGATTTGAGGTGCCAATATCCACAGCCAAAGCTATATAATAGTTTGGGGGAGCTGTGACAATTTGTGGAAAAATATCGTCTGCAGATGGTGTATTATACCCAACACTACAATGGGGATCCACAGAACAGTGCCAGTCCCAAGGTGAAGTGTCTGAAACTATTTTAAAATCTACAGGAAAAAAAGTCAGTTAGCATTGCTGGGAACAATAATAGGACAAAAATCTAAACAGAGATGAACATACATACCTGTGTTATTTGCTTTTCCTTGAGGTATAGCTTCAGCGCAAAGAATACCAAAATCACAGTCATTGTGAAGGATAATCTGAGGGTAAGGCTCATGGTCAATATTCACGAAAGTCTGCCCATTAGTTTCAACAACAGACATAACAAAGGATTTGTAAGTTTGTTTGGAAATTCCTTCATTCTCCTTTACTAGATATGGAACAATAAATCTTCTTCTTAGAGGAAAGTTAGATATGCGCAGGGGGCAGCCAAGTTCTTTACTTTCTTCAACGCTCACAGAAATGAATGGCACAAGGTCAGCCTCACAGGACGTAACATGGAGCCATTTTTCAAGGGGGTAGCCTCTGGACAGAAAGCAGAAGGAAAAAGATAAATAATAATGGGTCTGGAACTTTGGCAATGTTTACATATCTAACAAGGATTGTACCTGTGCTTGTTATTTGGAAGAACAGTTATTGTAGAATTCTTAGTCTCCAGAGTGTCTTTAGTAGGCACAACCAGGCGCTTGTTTAAATCAGTATGACGTACAGCAATGCCTGTTACTTGTATTGGGATGGAAGTAGAATTACTGACAACAAAACTTGAGCAAATGTTGACAACTCGAACTTCGGAGAGCACTTGAGACCTCAGGGTTAGTAAGCATATTGCCTGGGATAAAATATTGGAATAAATTAGATTGCAAAATTTAGACAAGAAACAGAATTATTCATATTTGGTTCCGTTATTGGGCCTCACCGATAAATCACACTTGACAGAAATTTGCACATGACCATCAATAGGCACAAGGCCAGATATTCGAGGCATGTAAAAACTTTTGCCCCAGTCAGGCCTTGCTAGCTGAAGAGCATCTGAGAAGGACCATTCTGCAGAGTTGTTCAATTGAAGACCCAAGTTGAAAGTTCCCTACAAAAAATAAAAATAAACAAGATCCTCGGTGAAACAATGCAGTACATAAGACAAAATAGTAAATAATAATAAAATGTTCAAAACAAATCTTAACAAAATAATTTGATTAAATAGAGTATTTTCACCTCCAGCTTTGGTGGTGCAACTATTCCTTTAGATGGTAGAGATAAGACTCTGTCTCCTGATTGCTCAATGCATATGGTACACCCCAGTGTGTTCAAAAGCAATGCCCAGGGATGAAGCTCTAGGACCATGGTGCCAGAATATTGTGACAAGGGGCAATACATTGCCTGGGGAGATAAAAAGGTGGCATATGACATTTTTACAAAGCTAAGTAAGGTCAAAGCAGGTACATTAATTAAAATCAATTTACCTGTACATAAGAATTTTCAATCTCAGTTCCAATCCATTCAATGGATGAAAGCTCATCATCTGGCAAAGGCCAGGTTGTTTTTTTAACCTTAAGAGATGATTCTATTACAGTGTCAATATTAACTTGATCCAAACTCGGAAAAACCTTTTTAGGATCAATACAAGAGTAGCTAAACGGGAAAACTTTTAAATTGGCAGAGTTTCGTAGGTGCAGCTGGTGAGTATTTTCTTTGAGAGCTCCTGGTAAATGCAATAATGTAACTTCACCTTGTCCCTGCACTTCAACAGACACACGACTGTCTACATTCTGATCATTAGTAATGGCAACTGGCATTGCTGTTGGAAGAAGTGAACGCACAGCATACATCGGACTCAGCAAGACCTGAAGTTGAAACAAGGTAAGAGCACTTTGAGTGTTGTTCTCTGAATCCTACATTACATTCAATAACGGGGCAGAAGCAACATACCAGAATTCTTTTACAGCCCTGGATATTTTCTCGAATGACCCTACACCAAACACAGACAAATTGGTGCTTGTCTTGGAGAGGAACTGTTAATCAGGAGAAATAGTGGGTTTACAGTGAGTAAGGGATACCATAAATGCCGTCATAACACAATAATGTATACCTTTCACTAGCCAAGGCTGATTGCTCTTGGGGTTCTCTTTCAAAGGAATGTCCCCTGTCCACAAATTGGCTTCAATCTGGCCTTTGAGGCGCAACCTTAAGGCAAGTTGGGGATCATTTGCATGCCGGTCTAAAAGCAATGAAGGGGCCAGACAGTCAGGTTGTAGAGGGACCAAGCAGTTACATGCTTCCAATGACCAATCAGCAGCTGGTCGCATTATTCTAAGATCTAGCATCAGACCAACTTGATTCAAGATTTGCAATTGACCAGTGAATGTCACCTGTAAAAAAAAACTAAAATGGAACAAGGGCGAGAATAAGAGATAGATATAAAATTGTCACGACTCAACTGACCCGCTTTTGAGTAGCAGACAAGGCAGTGACATTCACAAAGAGGAATATTTCCTTGCTGGAATCCGGGTATAATTTGCACAATTGCATGCCCAGTGAGTCAATGGAGAAAGGTGAACTCCACACTTCTTTGCCCAGCTTTAGTATGCTGTAAAAGGATTAAGTTCAATAAGACTATGCAACCCGCGATGCAACCTGATGTGAAATCAACCAAATAAATTACCTTGGATCCATGACTGAAAGATGCATGCTGGGCTTTTTAGATAATGATCGCCAGGAATACATGTGACACTGACGACTTGACAACAAAATTTGCTCATCGGTTTCTACTTGGCCTATGACTATAGGAAGGATAGTATCATTGCACAATATATGCTGAGACACAAAAACCTGTGGGGAAAATCATACTTTTAGATTAGACAACAATACTCAATTCAAGTAAGAACTGAGAAATATAAATGGGCAACAACTGACTTGAACTGGTTTTATATTTTCCTGCACAAGCTCTTGATGCCACAATTTTGTGGATGCTGCAATGGTATGTGTTACTGAAGATGTAACTCTAAGGGCTACGGGGCGACTCACAACAGATACATCTACAGATTTGTCTGGACTAAAAGACATTCTTAAGCAGGACAGAAAAGGCTCAACAACCTTCTGTTGAGTAAGAGTAGAGTAGTCAAGAATGTCAAGGTCAGAAAGACTGTTTAAGTCAGCAGTTACACGTCCTGAAATTGATTATTAACAGTAAGTTAATGACCATTGCTTATAAGAACTTTCTAAGAGTCAGCATTTTAGCTATAACTTGGTTTCACAAGCTTTGATTTATTACCTTCTGGCCAAGCAGAGTAAAATAATGCAAAGTGGTTGAGGGACCACCAAAGAAAACTATGGTTTCTTGGAACTCTACCATCAATTAAATAGTCTTCTAATCCAGGAGGCATAGGAAGCAGTTGTGAGTCTGACAATTGGTTTATGAGAGACACCTAGAAGCATAGAGAAACAAAAACCAAGTTTGAAACATAAAAAGGAAATATTTTAACATTTAAAGATTTAAAAATTACCTGGAAGACAGTCATATTAAAACTTGCTTGCAAGTTTGGTGCTAATGACGCACTGAAGAATGAATCAATTCTCATGCAGGCAGCTAGAGCTCGAGGAGATACCACAGGCACATCTGCAATGAAAATAATCACAATTGATGCTACTCCTGTAGAAAGAAAAGTATCTCACCAGACCCTGAGCTGAATTACCTGTGGTCAATGACTCACTGCTATCAGAATCTGACATAGTGAGACCATGCCCATGCATGTCTTGAGTTCCTGCCAGCAAAACACGCCACACTGCTGACACAGCAGAGACAGATGATGAAGGCAAATCCACCTTGCTCTCATTTGTTTCAGAAAGCAGGAAAGTAGCATAGTGTTGATAAGAGCCTCTGCACTCAGACCAGTATTGCAAGGAGCAAACCACAACAGGAGCATCCTCTTTACCTACTTCAGCATCTGGCGCACTCTAAATTAAAAAAAAAAAAAAAAAAGATGAGGAAAACAGGTAAACAAACATTAAAATTGAAACCAGTGCAATAGAGTTTTCAACCAACCTTGAAAGGAACTGGAAATATGTGGACATTGGTCAAAGACCTGGGCTGAGGATATCGCCAGGCAATTGCTGGAGGGGAGCTTTCCCAGAACACACATTGGTATGGCAGTGGTATCTGGTCCCTTTCTAAAGTATTTGTTGCATCCATAAATTGAAATGCACCAGCTCGAAGATCATCAGTGTAGTGTTGTTCAGTGTCGACAAAATCTGGAAACGAGAAATGAAAAGAAACTTGAGTTGCGAGGAACAATAATCTCAGGCTTCTGGTGCTAGTTACAAGGACAGACCTGTTTCACTTGAATGAACCTCTGAGGTTGGTGTGCTTGGAGATATGTGTTGCAATGCAACATCCATCTGATTGACTTCAGCTGAGACACTTATAAATGGTTTATATGCTTCATACAGGTTACTGAGGCACTGTACATTATCGGGGCTTATCGACACAGCAACAAAATCAGACTGAAATGTCAGCTAAAGAAGAAAAATTTGTATAGTATGAGAAGAAAAAAGCAAAAGAATAAATTCCTTACAATAGATATTAAAATTTACTGAAATCTATCTTACTTGAGTGTGAGGAAGAGAATTGTGTAGGCTTCTTGGCAGCCAAGTAGGCCACAACAATTCTAGCCTCAAATTCATATTGCAAGGCTCAAGTAAAAGATGACGAGCAAGACGATGGCTTGATACCAAACTAACTCCTTTACAAGAGAGATGACAAGCAATGCGTTCCACAGCAGAAACATTGCATCCCCACCGTGTTCGGCTTTGACACATCAAATCACCATCCAGAGAAACAACACTCATCTCCAAAACAGAATAAACTGCGCACAAAAGAATAAAATTTAAAATTAATGCTCCTTTAAATTAGATAACTAAATTAATCAGAACATCACACTTACTGTGATCTTTATTTTCCGCCTGGAGGGCAACAACTATTTGGACTGATTTGAAACTAACAACACCAATGCCAGAGAGGCTGTCAAGCAGTTGATCCAAACTGAAACACAAGTTTACAAAAGACCAAGTCTTGAGATACACCAGAACTGTAGAAGTGTTACTAAGAAGTGAAATGTCAAAAATACCTTTTCTCAGATTGATTGGTTTCAAACAAAGAATTGTTAATGGTATTTGAATGAGAAAGGCAGGTTGAAATAACATTCATAATGTGTTGAATAAACTCAAGATTATCAGTACTGATGACACATTTTGCGGGCCTTGCGAGCTCCACAGATACCTAAAAAAAAAACAAAGAGAATTAAATAAAAGTATCATAGAACATTGAGATATTCAAAATTCAGAATATACATACCTCAGCTGGTTTGGAAGGAGTCAAAGTCCAATGTGCTGTAAACAGCGCTGGAGGTACACCAGTTTGTGGGTCCTGATCACCCTTGCGACTTTCAAATAAAATTATTGGAAAATCAGTTTCATTGAAAGCTGGTTGGAAATCTGCAATGAAGTGTGGCACTCCCAATTGCACAAGAGCATTATACATAGAAAGCTAAAAAAGAAATAATATTAAGACAGGTTGTTTTTTGGGAGGGGAGGGGGGTGAATTACATTATAAATACCACAAGAACTCCAGAATGGAAGAAAAAGAAATTTACCTGGATAGAACAGCTGCGACTAAACAGAGAGTAAAACATGTGAGGTTGTGTCACCAAAATGCGAAACAGTGGCTTGTGCATGGTAACAGTTTTTGTACATTCAGTCTGAAAATTTAAAAAAGATAATGGAAGAATAAAAAATAATGTATAAAATTAGAGAAGAACATTTGTGACAAAAAGTTGGCTGTTACCTCTGAACTTGAATGGGAATCCTCATGGATCATCAGTGAAATTCTTCCCGCAGTAATAAGAAGATCAAAGGGAGAGTCCAAATTTTTGTCTCTGCTGGGGTGTGGATCAGAAGATTTTTCTCTTTGAAGACTGGACCTGCAAAAATTGGTTCATGTCACAAATTTCAAGGCTGATTCCAATCATGGTCAAACGTAAATAAAATTAAAATGGAGAGAATATTACCTTGAACAAGCTAAGAGATCAACAGGTTGCTCATTTGCCGGCTTTGTTTGCATAGTGTAGTCTCGTTCTTGTTTGAGGGTCCATGCTTGCGACGGGGCCGAGTGCACAGAGGGACCATGGACACTTTCAATGTATCGTGGCGACCGTGACACGCGGCGGCTTCCTGTAAATAAAATAGCAGTGAAATCAGTCATTTGATTCCACATGAGCAGCAACAACAGATCAAAATAATTTTGTGGCATACCTCGCACTCTTGAACTATGGAGCGTCTCAATACTTGATATATCAGCAGTATCAATGCCACTATCAAAGTGTACTTGCTCTATAGCTGGTGGATCAGGCATTGACAGTAGACTGTTGTAATACTGTTTCTCAGCCAGTTCAACCACAAATGATGGTTTGATAGGCTTGGACCCATCAGGCTTGGACAGGAAATTGAGCAGCACACCCTGCAGCTCAGAGAGCAGGTTCACCATCAGGCACATCTGATTTGTAGTCAGTTTTATGTCAATGTCAGATATGGCATTTATCTGCAAAAATGAAAATGCACAAGAAATAAATTTGAAAATTGACTCATTTACCCAACTTAGAGAGACTCTGAACCCTTCTAAACCAACCCGCTAAAGTAAAGTTACCTCTAATGCATGGCCGCACACTAATACTTTTCCACAGTAAACAATAGCAGGAGCACCAATCATGCAGATTTTTAATGGTGCTAAAACTGTCATCAGCTGTGGCTTTGGACTGCCTACAATCTCTGAAGCATTATTTTGAGTATTTGAACCTAGACTGTTCCATACAAGGGCAGGATTTTCACTCATTGTGCGTAAACTTGATGCCGGTGTATTTGTTGGCATTTTGCGGCAGCTTTCAATGTTGTGCCATTGCCCTGTTAAAATAAAAGTAAAATCTCAAGTTGGTGTAAACTGTGCTTCAAATCCAAAATTGACATACCTGTGCTCATAGCAAGTCCTGTGACATTCAGCTCATACTGCCGGTCTTCTACTTCTGAGCCAGGTATTGTTAATATCCGTGCTTGCTCTGCCATGTGAAATACATCTGGACGTATGGGCGTTCTCCAGAGTGGATTCTCAGCATGAGGAGAGAGTGTTAATGAGTCCATCTGCAAAAAGAAAGAGAGAATGCAGGTAATGCAGGGTAAGTAATTAATAGAATATTACATCCATTGATGAGAAAAATTTATTACCTGGACAATGAAAGTGTCATGAAAACCAAACTTGTTATTGACTGGCATTAAAACACGAACTGCTTGTAAATCCAGATATAGAAGTGGGAGTGACGCACTCGACACAGTAGGTAACCCAGGAACAGGTGCTGTAGAAGGTTTTACATTTTGGCTGGGGCCACAGTTGTACTCATCCAAGAGGACAGTGAAAGGCTGGAGTATAGTACTCAGCTCTGCCAATGTTTCCACACACAGTAAAAAATCTAGGGGTTGGAGTTTCACTAATATTTCAGTGATGAAACAGGCAGCTGGGGATCAGTATGGCCAGGAACTTTCATATCCGAATAGCGCTTGGATGAAGAGCCACTTCCCAAAGGAGCACCCCAGCGGCTATGCACATTTCGGCATTTAGCACGAGTTAATGTTGCTGTAAGGAGACCACAACCATCATCGGTTTGCACTTGTCCACTGGAAGGTGGTGCAATTTCCTCATAGGCACACATGACACGCCCCTGGTAAGGAGAGAGCTGCCACGCCTTGTCACTCTCATATCTACACCAATAAAAAAAGCACAATAAATAAACAGAAAATTTCAAAAAGTCGATTTAAATGCAGTAGTTGAATGTTAATGCACCTAATGAAATGATGAACATTGGCACTAGCAACTTTCAGTTTAAGTTTAGAATAAACCTGTTGGAAATCTAGTGCAGTCATTAAGTCTTCAACCTCAACTGTAAGTTTTGTGCGCTTCATGCCATGTGTCGCACTTTCACACTGCTGATACAAATTTATCGACATCCGAGCTAATGTCCATTGCATCCAAACACTCAGCTTGACTGTTTCGTCAGGAATTTGGATAGGCTCTAGAATAATAAGATGCATACGTAACTTCTCACAGCAAGTGAACTTAATTTACATAACTAACTAAAAACCTAAAAACTTACCACACAGAGAGGTCTTCATAACATTTCTTGGTTCACTAATACTTGCAGACTCACTGATTGTTGTTGGGCTGGGAGGAGCAGGTGGTAAAGAGGTTGCTCTAACTGAGCTAGAAGGACAGTGCTGGCTTAATATTAACCGGCTCACAACCATTATATTTAGCAGCACATTGCTCAAAATCTTTGCCTGCAGAAAATATATGACATAATCATGGGAAGAGAAAAAAAAAATCATGAAAATAAAATTTAAAAAAACTAAGTACCTGTGCTTGGTTAACACTGACATGAAGGGCACCTGTGTCATTATGAATACACAAGCCAAGGGATGTGATGCAGTCTTTGCTGCTGCTGGCAAAACGAGTGGACAATCCAACTGTACATTTGGTCGTCACAGGCTTCAGAAGGTACTTATGCTCTCCATTACATAGAGTCCAAACAGACAGTTCAGAAAGACTAACATTCCAAGGAAAATTCGAACCCCCTGTAAAAAGCAGCCATAGTTGTTACTTATAAATTAATTGATTTGAAGACTTTAGATATTTGCGCTAGTACTGACCCTCAACCCATGTAGAGGAGGGAAGATGAATGGGCAGCTTGATGGGAGTGGGGAACAGTGGCTGGGAATGTCGGTGAGGCGGAGTGGCACTGCTGATTTGAACAACAGGGAGGCGAATACAAACTCTATCGACAGGAGCAGCTATTTCTTGCACTGAAATATCCGGTTTTGCCAGTGACAGAGTTGGTAAATGTATTTGCCAATGGGATACATCAATGCTGACGACAAGCCCTTGCCAAATAGGAAACCACTGCACAAGCCACTTGGAAAATTCCCAAGGCTTGAAAGTGAGAAGGAGGACAGGTTAGTAAAAGAATAACACTTTTTTGGATGGTAGCCTTATGAAAGTAGAGTAGAGGAAATACAAAGAAGTATTGTTGATCACTTACATCTGATGTTGGGTGTGCCTTGGAGTTGGGTGTGATTTGATCAATGCTTAAACCCGAATGTTGAGTCTTTAAAGGTGGAGGAAGAGTTTCCTTATCTCTGTCACTGCTATGAACTGACAGAGGAGTCTGAGAACGTCGAGTCCTGTCGTGACTTCCACTGACATCAGAAATTTTACGGTGTCCACTGCGACCACTTGATAAGGATGACAAGTTAAGGATAAATTTGTGTTTGAAGAAATAGCCAAAAGTTATTGAGAACTCACCTTTGAGTATTGAGGTCTGAGGCTGCAAAAGCTGTCCTGGAGGCAGCATAGTTTGTACCTAAGCTAATAGTGTTGGGGTTGACTAACAGCCAGGCATACAGCAATGGATCAATGTTGAAAAATGCCTCTTGAATGCTGATAAACAGCAATGGAGCATGTGACTGCTGAGCAAGTTGTTGTGGCCACTGAACGCAAGCTGTAAAATTTTGACATGTGAAACAGGATTAAAGTAAGACAAGAATCATTGCCAAACTGATAGCCTGCACTGTTACCTTTTATGAATGGTACAGAAGAGGTCTCTTGGTCCCCTTTCTCATCAGTTGGACTCGAGAAAATAAGGGTTTTTGGCTTAACTAACATGTCTGAGTTCACATTGGAAGAACCAATGAGAGCAGCAGTGACTCCTGCCAGAGTTAATGAGTCAAACCTAGTATACTTTGTAAGCCCATTCTGCCACGAAATATTGTTTAACATGACTTCGAGGATTCTCCCTAAAATTTAAGGCCAATAACACAAAACTCTTGGTTTAAAAATATTCATGTAAAATAAAACATATTTAATAATGACAATAATACCTTCCACAAAGGCATCACAAACAACCGCTGATGGTGCTTTATTCTCCACAAGAGATGTTAAAATTTGTATTACAAGCATCATTTGAGGTTTTGTAACAGTAATAGAGACAGTTCCTTTCTCTAAAAGTCGTAATTTTATAAAAAAAGGCATAAATTATTTTTATGGGAAAAAATTGTTAATGACACATGTTGGCCAATCTCTGCGCATTTACTTACCAGCCTCTAAAGAACGTTCTTCATAAAGTATATCATTACCTTCCCAGAGATGTGGAAGGAAAAGCTGTTTCTGTTTGTACAGCATGTTATCAACAGAGAAAACTTGACATTGAGACTGGGGTGAAGAGGATAGCTTGCCAGTCAAACCCAGAACCTGAAATAAAATTGCAGATGCAAAAGGCAATCAAGTAAATATTATTATTATTATTTTTTTAATGAGTTATTGAATCTGTTTAAAAGGGTGACTTACACGACCTATGGCGTGTGAATGGCAGGCATGGAACATATGCTGAGGCAGAGTTGGAAGAAGACATGCAGAGCGAACCAAACGGCGGGGGTACATTGGGGAGATGAAGCGGGCATCCACACATTGACATTCCACAGATAAATTTGATCCTTTAAAATGAGCTGGAAGGTCTAGATGAGTGACTGATATTTTCTGAAAGACATAAGGATGAACAATGTAAGTACAAAAAGAGTTGGTATAACAGTTCTGAATTGGTTGGTGGATAGAAGTCATGCTGATGAACACATACTCTCCTGCTGGGGCCTGGTACACCTGGATGATCAGCAAGAAAGAGCTCTACTTTTGGTTGAAAAACAGTGTACTGATAAGTTCTTAGAGGAATGTTCTCTTCCAAACTATCATACTCCTCGGTTGTTACAGCAGGGAGTAATTCTCGACGGTCCTCTGAAAATGATGGAAAGGGTTGAGAATTATTTCAATTTTGTTAACATTGAAGAACTGTCCAAAACGGGAATAGCTAAGTACCACTGAAAAATTATTTTCAATGCCACCAACCTGGAGGTGATGTGCTGTATGGTTGATAGTCATACAAAGCTGCTGCCAGCTTTACTTTGTCACTTCGATGTAACAATCCTGAATTTACTCGCAAGACAAATGGTCCCATTACTGTTCGACACAAGGCATGCTCCGGAAGATCACTAGCATAATCATAAAAATTCGAAATATTTTTAAAAGATACAAAGTTGAGAAAATATACAGAGGTTATCAAGGGCATGTTGTTCACCTGTATTCTAAATCCCCATTCAATTCTGAAAGCTTCTCAAGATCACATTTTTCAGTGAGTTCAACCATGTAAAGGTAATCAATAGCTAATGCAGGTGTTTTCTCAAGAAGGCTGGACTCTGTTAGGAGAAATTATGTCACAAAAATGAAAAGAGGAAAAACCAATTTTACAACAAAGTTTTAGATAGGGTTCAACACTTGCCAGAAAAGATATTTTGGTGAATGTCCCAAGAAAAATTATAATTACGCTTTTCTCCACAATTTTCAACAGCACTGGGCGAGAAAAGTGATTGAGATAAATAAGTCTCTTGGTATGAACCACTTTCAAAATATGGCATACACTTTTCAAGAGTAGTTTCATTCACCCCACAACTGCAAGGTCCCACAGGTTCAAGCTGAATGCTACTAATTCCAAGTTGGCAATTGGCCCAAACATGGTCATGGCTAGTGTAATCAAGCAAACAACCCTTAAGGGATAAAGTAAGAAATGGTTCCACCTTGTTTTTCCAAGCATTTCCATCATGAGAACTACTTTCTCCAACCTGACAACAACAACAAAATGATAGATTTAAAAGTATAATCAAAACAAAATCAATAAATAGGCAAAACAGAAACAAAAATTAGTCACCCTAAGATTGAAAGCAAGGTCATCAATATAAATTCCAGATTGAAATGTAAATCCTTTCTCTTCTGAGTCCTCCCCAGTCCAGTCTTCACTCCAACTGGGCAAAGCTGGTACCAAGTTCCAGGCCCACCCAGTCCAAGAATCTTGATCAAGGTTTTCACCAGAGCTCTCTAGAATAAAAAAGGCATTACAAAAGAAAACACTGAGTGAAATCAATTAAAAAGGAATTAGTTACCATCACCGTCCTCCGTTTCAACATGGCACTCTGTTTCAATGGATCGTTGTCCTACTTCTCTGTTTTGAAGTGCACGTGCTAGCAACATTAACCGCATCATCATAGGAACCTACAAATTTTAATTTTGGCTGTTAAGATTATGAATGTGAGTTTATATCTTGCAAAGAATATTTTACACAATTAAATTATTACCTGAAGTTCACTTATGTTGAATGTCATTTTGAAGCAGTGAATATCAAGTCTTGACACATTAGCTTGGTGAGCAGAAGCTGAATTATAGCAGCGTAACCATCGCATCATCAACGAACATCGGTACAACACTGGCTCCTGGAATAGAAAACAATCAATGACATTGAGTCACATGGTAAATGAGGTCTAGGTAGATTAAGGCTTACAAACCTGATAGGAATCAATTTTTCCAGAGGCATTTCTCTTGTCAAGGCATACAGTCACATCAGAAAGTTTAATGATCTTACGAAGCATTAAGTGAGATGATAAGAAATCTGGATAACAGTGCATCAAAGAGTATTTGTATGTTTTTCAGAACCCAAAAATGATTATGAAACAACTAACACAAGCAACAAACAAATTTACCACTGAATTCTGGTTCCCATTTATCATTAGCAGATTGAAAAATTAAATTTTTCACATTCATAGACATGACAATATCTTCCTCTACATATTTCACAATTAAATTGCAGCAGTTGATGGTGATATTGCTGACTATCTTGTTGATCATGGTTTGTACATAACCAGGAGGTGCTGGAGCATCTGATGTTCTGTGTAGGAAAATTGAATTATGAGACAAGACAGAAAATTAGATAAAGCAATCAAAAAGACAAGAATCATACTTGTTAAGGCGTCTACGTCTTTCTTTGGTTCCATTTCCATTTCCTCCTCCATCTTGGGCAGAGGAATCCTCCCCACGCAGCTTCAAAATACATTCTGGAAATAGATGAAGAAATTTAGTTACAGAACAGAATAGGGTAAGAGCTAGATCCACTGTACAGTTCAATCAAGTCACTACCTATAGTGTTGATTGTAATACATATTGGTTCTGAATATAGCTTAGTCCAGGGGACATGAATAATAAGTTCATGTATGTGCCCACTGACAAATGTAAATGGAAGTTGCAATTCCTCTTCCAGAACTTCGAGCCTTAGGTCTAAATTGTGAAGAGAAACTTCTCCACCCCATAGCGATAACTGAAAAAGGTCCAATACAAACATAAAAAATGAACATTTATCAATAACATACAAAACATGCCAATGTTGCACTGACCTGAGAATCTTCAGGTTTGAAATTTTTAATGTATTTATCAACATAGCTTAGAAGAATAGGAGTGATGTAGGACTCAAGTTTGAACATTCTTCAACGTGAGTATAAAAACAATACTCTGAATGAGTTTGGGGATTAGGTATTTTCTGGTAAGACTATTTCTTTGATTAAAACCATATTGATGAAGCAAGCATGAAACTAAGACGTCATGCACGGGCTGTCAAGTGACATGTCATATGTTTACACATAAGAGGACAGGTTATGTTTACAAGTGCTCATTTCGACATTCGAGCCACAAGGAAACCTTTGGTAAGCATTGACAACGCCACCCGCACTTTGACACATTCATAACAAGATAGTACCCAGAGCCAGGAATTTATTAATTCCTCAATTAAAAACAAATAACATAAAGGTTATAAACTTGCAGACGAGGCGACAGGCCGGGCTACTGCCAATAACGTGTCCTGTGCACTGTGCATAATCGGCTCCCCCTCCCCCTCCTTTTTTTCCGGGGAAGTGCCAAGAGAAGGCAGAGTGTCAATGAAGTGACACGGGCCTGACCTTGTGCTGATTCAAAGTGTCGAACTTTCCAAATGTTCAATGAGAGCGAGGCTGCGATGTTTTCGAAGTCTGCGAGGGCTGGCGGGCTGGCCCAGGCTGCCGCACGTGCTGCACGCAGTCGTGATGCCTCCCCTCCGAGGCCGCGGTGCCGTTGGCGGTGCCGCGGCCGCACGAAGAGACTGTCAGGCCGAAGCCGAAATGATTCAGTTAGCCCGCAGGGCGTAATTAAAACGCAGGGCGCATCGTGCGGCGTCCTCATTGTCCTCGTCGTCCTCATTGTTTCGGGGGCAACTTAACTTCTGCAATAAAACTTGGGGCGGTGCCGCATGGCCGCCGCACCACCGCATGCAGGTTGCACGCCGTCAAGTCCGCCCCGCCCGGCCCCGCCCGGCCCCGCCTCGAACCGCGGGGCTGCGTCTCGCGTCTCGCGATGGGCACATCGATTGCAGGTCCGCGTCGGTTTTGGGGAAAGGACCCAAGGACCCCCGGCGCGGCGGCCTCGCCCGGCCGGCCCTGGCCCTGGCCCGCCCGACGGCCTCCACTTGAGACTGCTCTGCCTGGCTCCGCGCTCCGCCCCTGCCGCCGTTACTCTGCCGCGGCACGCCACGCGGCCTGCACGCGGCGTCCTTCACGGATTTTTATCATCCGGCTACGCTGGGGGGCACTAGGAGGGCGCCATAACACTCGGATGTTGATCCCTCCGCCGTTCTCGCCGAGGCGCAGGAGGCCGACGCGGCGTAGCGGCGGAGTGCGAGGACGACCGCGACGTCGGACACGTCCACGGCCTCCCCCACGCCGTCGGGGCCGACGCCCTTCCGGCGAGTTATTCGCGGTTTGGGGCGTAAAGAAAGGGACGCGGCCTCCGCCTTTCTCCTCCCGACGTGCGCGCACATTAATCAAACGAGGCCGAGGCCGCTGTGCGCCCCGCGACACGCCCCGCGACACGGACACGGACTCGCGGCCTCCTCCAGGGAGAGGCGCAAGTAAGCGGCCACTCGGCAATGGGCATGTATGGGAGCAATCGGTTCCTGACACCTGGAAACTAGGCCGTTGGCATTGCCACCGCGGGTTATACCGAAATCCACCCCACCACTGTTGGTCAAACCTGAACAGTAAGGAAATCAACTTAGCAAACTGCACGATCTCGCGAAATCCTTGGTTTCCTATCCTTTCCTCGTTTCGTTGTTTTTGTTTCTGGGGGTGGAGCACAAATACCCCAGGACATCTCGCAAGTGCCCGCGCCCGCGTACAAGCTCAGTGGGGCCGGCTAGGAGGGTCATCGGAGACGGTGCTCGGAAGCGGCCTTCTGGCATTGCGAGAGACTCTGAAGAGGCAACTCGCTCGCTTGCCCTCGCTAGACTTAACCTCATTGGGGAACTCGCTAGGCGCAGACGAGCAAGTACGACTTAGTCGACAAGAAGCTGGCTAGAGGCCCACTGGAAGTTTGGAGGCTCAACTGGAGCCAGGCACGCCTGACCTTTACACCCGAGGAGTCGCCACAGTCCCTAAAGGCTTGCCAGAGCAAGCGCCGACCCTGGCAAGGTGCACCAGGGATGAGTGAGCCACCCTCAGAAACAGAAACAAAGGAACGAGAAGAGGGTAGGAAAACAGGGATTCCGCAAGATCGTGCAGTTTGCGAAGTTGATTTCCTTACTGTTCAGGTTTGACCAAACAGTGGTGGGGTGGATTTCGGTATAACCCGCGGTGGCAATGCCAACGGCCTAGTGGCCTTGCAACACTAGGAGTGACAACTCGAAGTGACACACGCACTTTCGCCGCGTGACCCGACTGACTGGCCACTGGCCGCCGTCCGACGGCTTGGCCAAAACGGGCCGGCCCTGACCTTGAACTTTCATTTTAGGGCGTTGTAGTGACTTTTAGCACGAACTGTGGGTGCCGAAAATTCTTTCTTGAAATGGTCTTTAAGATCCCAAAGTATGGCAGAAATCGGTTCCCGTTCCCTTGTAAGTCGCGCCGCTCTGAATTCGATAGTGTCGTGGAAGGGCCCGCCGAGCTTCAAGGGCGGATCCAGAGCCGGTCTGAAAAGGGGGAAGAGGGAGGGAGGGCAAAAGGCCTGTTGCCCCCTTTAAATACGCCCTGCCGAACTTCCCCTATCGGCCGGCCAATCTGAGTGGGGTGGGGGTGGGGCGGGTGAACGAGAGAGACAAGCGGAAGGAGCGGCAGTGCCACCACGGTGCCACCCCGCGGGCCGTCCGTCTACGTCTACCCGTCTGGGCCCGTCTGGGCCCGTCTGGGTCCGTCCCCACCACGGCCCGGCCGGGGGCGGCGGGGGCGGCGGGGGCGGGGTGTGTGGGGTTAGGCAACCTGGCGGTGCGGAGCAGCGCGGGGTGAGGCCATTCCATTCGGGGTTTGGGGCTCGGGGTGCCCCGCCGTCCCACCGTCCTTGTAGTACACCAGCTGGCGGCACCCAGTGAGCTTCCGGCTCCGTCATGGCGGGCCACGTGCGGGCGGTGGGGGCGGTTGGGGCGGTGGGCAGGGCGAGGGTGGGGCAGGCCACCACCTGCAGCTGCTGAGAGACCAGCAGGCACCAGCGGGGATCAAACGACGCCCAGCCGCCTCCAGCCGCTCGTGGTGCGCGGCGCCGCCAGGACGCCGAGCAGCCCGTCGTCGTTGTCATCGTCACCGCGGAGGATGTGGGCCAGGCCGGCCGAGTCCTGCTCGCACGTGGACTCCACGTCGCCGTCGTCGCCGTGCCGCCGGGGTCGCCGACAATGAAGGGCCTCGCGTCGCCACGCGCCGCGCGCGTGCTGCAGGCCTCGGCGCGGACTCGGCGACTGGCTACAGCGGCTGGCGCTCCTTCGAGGCCCGGCGACTCGCATGCCGTCTTCCACTTCAACTACCCCGTCTTCAAGAAGCCGGTCCTCGGCCTGCTGCCGCGCGCAGGCAGTGCAGGCGCCACTCTTGCCCGCGGTTTCGCGCGGCGCTGAGCTGCACGTCGCCGTGCTCGCGTTCGTCCCTCCCGTCTCAGCGATTCCCGCGTGAGTATTTGAACCGGAAACCGCCGCCTCCGCGTCCGGGGCACCGAGCCACGCCTCTGGCGGGAAATCAATCCTCCTGCCAACCGAACCTGCACTTCGCCTGTCTATAAAGTTCGGAGCTCGTTACTGTAATTTGACAGTGGTGGCCCCGAACAAACTGATGGGGGACTTTTGCTTTTGTTTTGGTCGTTGCTGCTTGGATGTAGTGGTTAGGGTGGGGCAGGGCTTCCACCACTTAGAATGTATCTCTCGACGGCGTCCTCCCCCCTTGCCGGCAAAGTGCCGCCGGACGGATGCGGCTGCCTCCCCCGCGCACTGCCCCTGGAGAACAAGTAGTATTCTTTGCTTTTGGCCGTCGCAGGAAGAAAGTTATCCTGGGCGATATCGACTTGGTCGCAAACGAAGGTGGCGGGGCGGGCGCGGGGCAGGGTTGGTTGAGGCGGGGCGCGGGGCCGCGGTGGGGCCGTGGTGGGGCTGCGCCGGCCGGTGCCAGCTGACTCCAGGTCCCCCGCCCCTGCCCCCCGCCCCGCGCGCCCCCTGCCCCTGGTCGCCCACGCGGCTCATTGCTACAACAGGTGCACCAGCACGGCACCAAGCAGAGTAACTTTGTTTTTTGCGTTTTCCTCTCCGCACTCCGGGTCGGCCCCCGACAAGCACTTGTCGGACTCCGTGACGTGGTGGCGGAGTGTTGCATATTCCGCTTGTGGCCGGTGCCAGAGCACAGTGATAGAGCACAGTGACATCGCAGTTGGCCGCACGACCCGAGGGACTCCCGTCCACTGCCGTCCACAGCGCGCCTGCAAAGTGGCGGGTAGGCATCCCGCTCACTGCGGCGTCGGCGGGACAGCCCGCCCGCCAGGCGTTCTGCGCCCTTAAGAGTCCTGGGCCTCCTCGCCCCGTTCCCTTCCCTTCCCTAACGCAAACGCGCCTTGTCTTCCTGCCGCAGGCCTCATGGCGGCCTTCGACGGCCCGTTCATCTTCCGCATCAACGAGGCCGGCAACCCCAGCCCCGGGCCGTACCTCCTCTGGCAGGTAAGCGACGACGACGACCGACGACGAGGAGCGCACTGCCCAAACCTTATGCCGAATCAAAATTCTAAAAGAATTGAATGAAAACGGCAGGCACTATCCCCACGCCAACGAGAAGGGCGCGACAACTGAGCCTTCCTGGTTCTTCCGCCGCCAGAGCGGCGTAATTGGCGGAGCCAGCCCGCTCTAATAGATTGATCAAGGCAGGCTGGGCGACCGCTGACAAGGCTGCCGGGGGTTGCGCGCCACTACCAGCTCGCGGGTAGGGACCGGGGGGCCGGGGGGGGACGCGTTGGCTAAATTACACGGTGAGCAGCCCCAAGCAGCCCAAGCAGCGCGAGCGGCGCGCACTGCCAGGCCTGCTCCCCGGACGAGGTTCGCCCGGAAGTGGGGCGGTGCGGGCGGTGCATGACCCGCGCCCATCCTATGCATGGCAATGAGAAATCGCACTGCGCAAAGAAAGTAAAAATACATAGACCCGAGCAAACTGGCCGTGCCAAGCTGTGGCCTGCACCGCCCGCCCGAACAGAAACGAAATCAACTTGGTGACCATGTGGTGACCAACACCATCTCGCGAAATCCTTGGTTTCCTATCCTTTCCTCGTTTCGTTGTTTTTGTTTTTGGGGGTGGAGCACAAATACCCCAGAACAACTCGCGAGTGCCCGCGCCCGCGTACAAGCTCAGTGGGGCCGGCTAGGAGGGTCATCGGAGACGGTGCTCGGAAGCGGCCCTCTGGCATTGCGAGAGACTCTGAAGAGGCAACTCGCTCGCTTGCCCTCGCTAGACTTAACCTCATTGGGGAACTCGCTAGGCGCAGACGAGCAAGTACGACTTAGTCGACAAGAAGCTGGCTAGAGGCCCACTGGAAGTTTGGAGGCTCAACTGGAGCCAGGCACGCCTGACCTTTACACCCGAGGAGTCGCCACAGTCCCTAAAGGCTTGCCAGAGCAAGCGCCGACCCAGGCAAGGTGCACCAGGGATGAGTGAACCACCCTCAGAAACAGAAACAAAGGAACGAGAAGAGGGTAGGAAAACAGGGATTCCGCAAGATCGTGCAGTTTGCGAAGTTGATTTCCTTACTGTTCAGGCTTGACCAAACAGTGGTGGGGTGGATTTCGGTATAACCCGCGGTGGCAATGCCAACGGCCTAGTGGCCTTGCAACACAAGGAGTGACAACTCGAAGTGACACACGCACTTTCGCCGCGTGACCCGACTGACTGGCCACTGGCCGCCGTCCGACGGCTTGGCCAAAACGGGCCCTGACCTTGAGGTGGTATTGGGCAGACGGACGGACGCGGGGAAAGGGCGGACGGACAGCGCGACCGATCTGGTGCGAAAAAGCAAAGGTCCAATGCGTCACTGCGCCCTACCGAGCCGAGGTTCGATCCCCGTCGACCGACGAAAAATTTTCCGGTTACCTACGGTCTCCCATCAGCGCGCTTGACACGACACGGCCTTCAACCTTGACTTCATGCTAACGCCTCCCCGGCAATATGACATCAAAACAACGGACCGCACATACGGAGGTGAACCGGCTCCCGCACTACCCTAACTGGCGACCGGGACTGACCCCGCGAGCGGACGGCAGCGCAACGCGCCATTAGACTACTCATGGACTTGTTTTAAGTCCGAAATGACCCACGACAAGACGAAACAAGGCAATACCTGACTTTCGACGCTGTGTCTCTCTCGCACCTACACTGGACGCCCCATGAGTGCGACAGAGACAGAGCGACGAAAACGACTCTCGGACTGATTCCGAGAGTCGTTTTTTCGACGCTGTGTCTCTCACGCACCTACACTGGACGCCCCATGAGTGCGACAGAGACAGAGCGACGAAAACGACTCTCGGAATCAGTCCATGAGTCCATACTACCGGCGGCAGACGAAGAGGAGGACGAAGACGAGGGCACGCCAACTTTGGCGGGCGGTCCCGGTGCTGCTGCCGCTTGCTGCTCCTTGCACCTGATAACGGTTATAAACGCCGCCGACGATGATATCTTCTTCTTGCCGTCTGGCACACACACACGCACACGCTGATTGGCTTGATGTGTTGTTCCGACGCAGCCCCTCCCTCCGGCCGGCCCGCGATGCGCGGGACGGGACGGCAGACCTGCTTCGCGACCACTTGGAAGCGGCTTCGATTCGAATAAGCGGCGCTCCAAGCGGAAACCGCGCAGCCAAGGCTGTCTAAACGAGAGCGGTCGTAAAGTCGGCCCGACGCCTCACCGATGCACAAACACACAAACACACGCGGTCAAACGGCACTGTCACTACACTCGACTCGACACTCGCGGCGGGCTCCACACGGCGACACAACAACGGGCAGCGCGCCAACGCGCCAACGGACGAACTCAACCGCTCGGCGCGGCGTTCCGGCCAGACCCCTAGTGCACCGTCCCGCCACCAGAGCGCGCTCAACCCGCCGCCGCTTCCCGCCAACTTCCTAAATAGCCTAAAACCGCCTAAAGAAAGCACCTATTTTTCCTTGAAATTAAAAACGATGAACTAGGCCCTAACCCCAAAGTTTTTGTCTTGAAACCCTAGAAATAATTGGGTGCGATAGACTATTTCAGCGGAACGCGGGAGGCGAGAAGAACAAAAGGCGAGCGGGTCACTTCCGCTTGGGTCACAACAAACAGACAACAGAGGATTTAAACATCGCCGACCGAAAATCTTTTTTTTTTTTCAGTTAAACGGCATTTTTAAGCCAGCCAGCCACACGCACCAGCCTGCCCCGGCCGCCAGCCCTTATTATATTGTTAGGATACGCGCTTGGTTTCTGGACTCTCGAGTAAAAGCTAGCTGACACCTTTATGTGTCTTGTAGTTTTAGGCATGTTTTCAAGTAAAGGTATCATCTGCTAAAAATAATAGGACCGTTGTAGTGTAGCGCAGCAGCGTAGCTCAGTCGGACCTGCAGCCTCGCGTGTCGTGTCGCGAGCCCTCCGCGTGCAGGGCCATGCATCGCAGTGCAGGGGCAGCGAGCAGCGAGGTTGCGGCGGCTGCATTTTTACTCCATTAAAAGTTAGTTACTGCGGCCAGCACCGCATGCGCCAAGCGCCGTGCGCGCCGTGCGCCGCACAGAGAGGCCCTGACAGTGGCCGTCGGCGGCAATGCGGCGCGGCCCGCCGGGGAAATGAGACCGGAATAGCCGCGCTGGAACTGGAATGCGCCTGGAATAGGCGGCGCCGAAAATAAACGAAGTCAGGATCGACGCGAGCGGTTGACGAGTCCGGAAGTGGGCTCACTCTCGTCGTCCTTTGGCAGTGGGTTGCCTACCTCTCAGCAGCGGCTGGAGAGAGACGGCCTCCTCTCTGCTTCTGAAGGTGGTGTCGGCGGCGCCCTGCCCAGGGGCATGCCGACTTTCCACAACGGCACCGTATCGACGTGGGATATTTATAACACGACAGCGTTAGGGCCACCTAAGTCGGGGGCCTTGAGGAGACACCTCCCCTCACGGCCGCAGCGCCGCAGCAGCTACGGTGTGGCTGCACGGAGGCACGCGGGACGAGGGACGCCTCACGGATTCCTGGCCTTCTCGGCCTTCTCGGCCTTCTCGGCATCGACAGCAGGCCGACAGGGCCGCGACAGGGTCAGGGTTCAAGGCGATGCGCGCACCACGGTGCATGCCAGCCACTCGACGCGTGCCGGCCCGTCTCTCTCTCTCTCTCTCTCACACACACACACACTCGCCCGGAATTGGTGCGAGAGTGAAAGCGCAAAAGCAGTGCCAGCTGCACTTTTAGTGGCACTTTTAGTTTAATTAAAAGTCGAGTCTCGTTAGTTTCAAAAGAGTTCGTGTATTATTTCCATCCATCTCGCGAACGGAACTTTTGGTCCGGCTCAGAAAGAGTCCGCCTCGATTTAACGGCGCCCCTTTTATTTTGGCGAGTGGGTAGGCAGGGGTTCGCTGCAAGGGTGTGTTTCATGCCGAGAGCGATTGAGAAGAGAGCTCGATACGACGCTCCTGGGGCACGGCGGCGTGGCGCGGCGTGGTGAGGCGTGGCGTGGCGTGGCCCCACGACAGGTGTTTATTTTCGTGTCTGAGAGCCGCGGGAGACTTTTGACCCACTTTTCTCTTGGCAAGGCGACACCCCTCCGAAAGCGCGACGAGCGCGGCCTGCGGAAAGGGTAAGGATCGTAACAGAGGCCGCGGGGCCCGCGAGGCACCGCATAGAGCCAATCATTGAAACAGAACAGAGGCAGTGTGCTGACTCGACTCAGGCGCAGCCAGGGGCAGCGGCGTAGCGCGGCGAACGTGTGGAGAGTGCAGTGATTGATCTGCAGGGGGTATTTCTGTCCCATTCAGAGAGTTTCACGGTCGCGAGGGCAGGGGAGGGGCGGCGCAGGGGCGCAGTGCGGAGTTACCCACTCGTCGTCGATCTTTATGGACTTTCGGGGCGCACGTGTGTGAAAGTGAGAGCAGTGGCGGTGCACTGGCGGGACGGGATCACCACAACAACTCCTGTCGTAGATAAAGGGGATGAAGGATGAGGATGGCCGCGGAGGTGACGTCAGCGATGACTAGCGACAATAGCGGGAGCCAAAAATTAAGCCTACAAAAAAAATCTTCCTTAAAAATGACTCAGAAAACCTATCCAAAAATTAAAATTTTGCAGGTGTGCCACGAGCGGGGCTGGCGGCCTTACAGTGAGGGCTCCACGCTGCGGGACCACTGGAACCTGTGGTGGCGGACGGGCGGCCACTCGCCGGCGCTCTACAAGCAGCTGCGCACCTGGCAGGTGAGCCCTCCATCCCTCCAGCCCTCCAGCCCTCCGGCTCTCCAGCCCTCCAGCCCTCCAGCTCTCCGGCCCTCCAGCCCTCCAGCCCTCCAGCCCTCCAGCCTTCCAGCCCTCCAGCCCTCCAGCCCTCCAGCCCTCCAGCCCTCCAGCCCTCCAGCCCTCCAGCCCACCAATGACGTCTCCGTGTGCACAGCCACGCGGGGAACGTGGCGCAGACGAAAACCGTGGAAATCGCTGAGCCGCGCCGCGGCCCCTCCGGCCAGCTGGCCGATTCCGCACAGTTGCTGCTTGGTCGCGTCGCTCCGTCTCCCTCGCACCCGTACGGCACGCCCCGCGAGGGCGAGGGAGACAGCCTGCTGGGGGAGAAGTCAGCCCGATGTGGGGCGGTGCGATAAGCTATTGAATATTGACGCGGCCCCGACCGGGACGGGCTGGGACTGGCGCGACCCAGAGGGACCCAGCGGGCAAGGACAGGGACGCGGGGGAAAACAAACGAACGCGCGCTGTGAGGGATGCATCCTGCAGCGTGCCACCAGCGCCACCAGCGCCACGCGTTGCGCGATACAACGAACAATGAAGCGGCAACAAAGAGACGCCCTGCGCCCTTTCACTTTTTGGGGCGCGGGGCGTCGGCGGGGCGTCGGTGGGGCGTCGGCAGGGCGCACGGAAGTCTACCGGGCGGACGGGGCTGGGGCCAAAGCGGACTGCAGTCCCTCATGGTACCAACCGCGCACTGCGATTTGAAAAAAAAAATGAATTGGAAAACAATAAGACGACGCTTTGAAAAAAATAAATTTTAAAATCCTGGAAAGCGCGTTTTGAAGCTCCGTCGGGAATTTTCGGAGGTTCCGTTTTTTTTAAGGATGTCTTTTGAACTGTACCCATCTGAAACTGATACAAAGTAAAAACTGTTTTTTTTTTTTTAATTTCCGAAGAGCGGTGGCAAATTTTTCTTAGCCCCAGCAAATTTTTCAGGTATATAAAAGATTCTTTGAGAGTGAATATTTTGTTTGACTAACTGCCAGTGAGTTTGAATGCGTGTGTTGGTGTGCGTGTGTGCCCGTGTGGGCACACTGTGGGGTGGGCCTGCGTGCCCGCGCGCCGTCCCGCGCGTGGAGTGCGGTGGAGTAAGTTGAGTTAGGCCTCCCTTTTCCCGACCCCCTGCGCCCTGCCTGCCTCTCAGAGCGTCGCCGTCTATTTTTGCAGTTTACGAACCACATTCCGAAGGGGTCGTCCATCTGCCGCAAGGACAAGCTGGCGCGCTCGCTCGCCTACATGCGCAGGGTGTACGGGCCCATCTACGACATCAGGTGAGTCACCGCTCAGTTTTCGAAAATCCATTCAAACAGCACAAATGAGTGTGAGTGCGTTTCGCCCCCGCACCGCTTCTGGCTGGCCGTGCTCCGGGCTGTGGCTCCCCCCCCCCCTTTCCCCGTCACCTGGCGCCTCTGGCCGGAAATAACAATAACCGCACGATAGTTGTAAAGTTGGTGCGGCGCTGCGGCGCACCGAGGCCGAAAACTGCATCGCCCGCCCCGCATCCAGTGAGGCGGTGGACGGAAATGGAATAAAGAGTAATTTAGATGTGCCGATAGGGCGACATGCTGCAGGCTGCAGTCTTCCGCAGCCGTCATTGTTTCCTCGCTGCGCTCGCGAGTCGATGCGGGGCCTCGTGACGTCATCGCCATTCGGAGACACTTTCCAGGCGGACCAAGCTGAACCGAACCGACCTGACCCGACGCGGGTTGTCGCCAAGGCCACCGCCAACCCCCTTCGCTCGCAGCCTCGGTCCGCAGCGCGTCTTGGACACTGCAGACGGGTGCCGAGCCGGAGGCCTCTCTCCATCTCTGTCGCACTCCTGGAGGGAGGGGTACGAGGGAGACGCTAGTGCAGCCCTTTGACGACATGACTGACGACAGGGCGGAGTCAATGCCACCCGCGCACGCACCGCGCCCTCGTCCTTGGCGTGCCGCGACTCGCGTGGCATCCGCCGGCAATTAGCGGAATTAGCGAACTGATTCCGGGAGGCGTCTGTCTCTCTCGCACCCACAGGGCGTCCGGTCTGGGTGCGAGAGAGACAGAGCGACGGAAACGTGTCTCGGAATGAGTCTACAGGAACAAGGAACCAGGCCGCATGTCGTCCAAGTCATCGCGAGGCGCGTTGCCGGGACGGTCCCCGCCTCCAGATCCCCGTCGAGGAAAGCACCCTGCATGTGAAAACACTGACGGACCCCTCGTCTGCCCGCAGCCCGCACAGCTACAACCTGCCGCAGGAGTACACGAAGCTGATCGCCGAGTGCAGCAGGCAGGCCGCCGACAACTCGGATCGGGACAAGCCGCCGTCGACCGTGTGGATCTGCAAGCCCGTGGGCCAGAGCCAGGGCAGGGGCATCTTCCTGTTCAGGGTGAGTGCGTCTCTCTCCGTCTCTCTCGCACTCATGGCGCGGCCCGTATGAGTGCGACTGGGACAGCGACGGAACGCTGTGCGGTGCGGCCGCGACCGCGGGAGGTAAGCGCCTGCGGTGGAGCGCATAGGCCAGCCCGCCGAGCGCGGCGGCGTGGCGGGGCGACCGGCGCGGCGACACTGTAAAAATCTAAAGCGAGCCGTTCTCCTGTTTCCGCAGAGCGTGAACGAGCTGAGCTGCAGCTCCAGCTCCGTGGTGCAGCGCTACGTGCAGGACCCGCTACTCATCGCCGGCTACAAGTTCGACCTGCGCCTCTACGTGTGCGTGCCCAGCTTCCACCCGCTGCGCGTGTACCTGTACCGCGAGGGGCTGGCGCGCTTCAGCACGGAGCGCTTCTCCCTCAAGAACCTGGACAACCTGTACTGCCACCTCACCAACACCTCCCTGAACAAGCAGGGCCCCGCGTACTCGGAGATGAAGGAGCGCGTCGGCGCAGGTCTGTCTGTCAGTCTGTCTGTCTGTCTGTCCGTCTGTCTGCCTGCCGACGACAGGTCACTGCAAAGCAAACTGTTTTGTACGGCACAGCGGGCTGCAAGTGGACGTTGCAGCAGCTCCGCCGGCACTTCCACCAGGCGCGGCTGGGCGACTGGTGGCTCTGGCAGCGCATCTCGCAGCTGGTGGTCCTGACCGTGCTGAGCCAGCTCCGCGGCGTGCCGCGCACCGCCAACTGCTTCGAGGTGTACGGCTTCGACGTGCTCATCGACGCGGCCATGAGGCCCTGGCTGCTGGAGGTGGGGGAACAGCGCGCTCCTCCGACAAAAATTAAGTGCGTCGAAAAAATTGAGACGAAATATGGTTTGTTTGTGCAGGTGAACATGAACCCCGCCATGACGATGGACTGCGACGCGGACCCCGTTGTCAAGAAACCCATGCTGCACGACCTGTTCGACCTGCTGGGGATGCCCGTCTGCAACACGGGGCTGTCCCTGTTCCGCATCTGGTCCAAGAACACCCCGCCGGCGCTGTCCGTGCAGCTGCAGCGGCGGCACGAGGAGCAGCAGCGCCAGCAGTACCTGCAGCGCCAGCAGCGCCAGCAGCACCTGCAGCAGCGGGCCAGCTCGGTCGGTGGCACACTCTCAAAGTGCAGCTGGTGGTTCAAACGGCGGCGTTGTGACGCGTTGTTGGTGTCCGCAGAAGCACAAGCACTACCACCAGTCGTCCGGGTCCAGCCAGGGCTCCGGCTCCAGCGGCACGGAGGGCGGCGAGGAGGACGAGGACGCCGCCAGTCCGCGCCGGTCGCCGCGCCGCAAGAACACGTCGGCCATCACGGCCGTCGCGGCGGCGGGCATGTGGCGACGGCGCTCGCAGACCGCGTCGGCGTCCGCGGCCAGCCACCGCACCGCCATCAGGTCGCTGGCGAGGTCCGCGTCGGTGGACGGCGACGAGTCGCCGAGCCCCAGTGCCGGAGCGGGCCGGGCCAAGAAGGTGCCCGTCAGGGTGGAGGCGGGAGCGGGGGCGGGCGACGGCTGGGGCAGGAGCCACCCCCCTCCGCCAGCGCCCGCCGCGCGCACGGCCGCCCGCAGCCGCAAGGTGCGGCGGTCCTCGGGGCCTGACGACGCCGACGGCGGCGACGCCGTGCAGCTCATCAACAACGGGGACGGCTGGCGACGGCCGCGGCCGTCCACCACCACGGCAAGGACAACGCACAAGCTGCAAGTGCAGGTTCGACTCCCGGTAGATCTAACTTTCCTTGTCTCTCTGCAGACGCGCCGCGGCCGCTCGCTGTGGGGGAACGGGCGCGACTGGTCGCGCGCCCCCGCCGTGGAGGGCGACTGGGTCCGCGTGTACCCGACCTGCGACTCGTGGATGGCGTCCGAGGAGGACCCCGGGCCGTCGGCGCGCCTCCACGACGACGACGCGGCCGAGCTGGTGCCCGTCGGCGACAAGGAGGTGAAGGCCATCGTGGCGACCATGCAGAAGCTGAGCAGGATGACGCGCGACGCGCACCGCCGCTACCCCAGCGTCTCGGACGAGGAGCACCAGCGCCTGGTGACGGACGCCCTGGGCGAGGACGCCGTGCTGTGGCTGCCGCCCAGCTGATGCGCTGCAAGCATGCCGCGGCAGTCCCCTCTTGCCACCGCAATGCAAGCAAGGTGCCAATTATTCGTCTTGTTTCGACTCTTTTCTCAAATTTCGCCTCTTTTTGGAAGATTCCTCTTTCCCAGGGGCCCTTAATTTAACGAGATGCCGGATTTCGCGGAATTGCAGCGTGAAAGTGGTGAGAGTTGGAGGCGTTGAACATGGAGTAGCTTAATTTTTAAACTCAGACTCTCATGACCACGAGCACGAGATGACAGGACCTCGAAATCGGGCAAATAGCTATGTTACGGACCCCTGTTCCTTTCTGTGTTCCCTTAATAGTTGTAGTAGCAGTCTATTTTGTCATGTCTTCAAAGTTCTTTGCTCACGTAAGATACGATGTCCGTTAGAGTGGTGGCATGTAGAGTCCACTAGATAAGTCAGGGGAAGTCGAATAGAATACGTAAAGCACACCGTGTAAAAATGTTGCACTCGGCCGATGTCTGAAGTAACTTGGGACCATTCTATGCTAGATTCATAGATTGAGAGAGTTCTGCAATGTATTGTAAGGTTCGACTTGGTTGTAATGAGCCTCGTCAAAAGTGACCGAGTACAGGGTGATGACAGTAGAAGGGCGTCAGCTCTATTTTATTATCTCTGCAAAGCACTGGAAAGCGTGAACCGTTAAAAAACTATGTCCACCTCGTCCTACCGTTTTCCACTCAAAGGAATTAATATTTTACACCACTGTCTAATATTGCCACCGTTTCTTCTCAGCACTGTGATTTTACAACTTCGCTCTTATTTCTCGCTGCAGAGGGCACAAAATCAAAAGTTTTTGAAAACTATTTTTCACCTATTTCATTACAAATTTGGGAAGGAGCATGTATGCATTAGGGATTTGCTGTTATGTCCAGGCAAGCCATCAACACCCAATGTGTTCCAACAAACAAATAAATTGACAATAGTAATTTCCATTTCTGTTCAATTTTTAATTTTTTTTTCAAATTGTCTCTTTTGCACTGCCTTCACATTCCGCTAAAATTAAACTTCTTTTAAAAGATCGAAAAACACACAAGTAAGCATTGCAATGAAGTCTTTACTCTCTTACACTCATTAGGTATGCATTTGCATAAAGCAGATAGCCATGTTTGTCTCAATTAGTTAAATAACAAATTTTAAAAAGAAAACGATAAAATTATCTTTACAATATACATACAGCTGTAACACTTGTCTTTCAGACACACACACGCACACACTCTCACAGGCACACATCATTCGTAGTTGTTCTGCTGCAGTCTCAAGGGTGGTGGCCGTGGGGGTGGCCGGACTTGGTGACCACGGCGTTGAAGCCGTTGTGGTCGTCCGCCGTGTAGTCCACGGTGCGGATGGTGCCGTCCGCCTCCACCAGGCTGTACTGCCCCTTGACCACGTCGCCGTCCCGGGTCTCGTGCGCGCTCTTGATGTCGCCGGTGTGGTGGTCGCTCACGCCGTACTTGTAGGAGTACTTGGGGTGGGCCTGCGCAGAGGGTGTTCACCCGGTTTACAAAAATGGCGCACTTTGGCAGGACAGGGAGAAGCACGCAGCGTGGGACTCACGTGGTAGTCCTGGTGGTCGTGGTGGTCCTCCAGCGGCGCGTATCCGACCCTGGCGGGCGTCCCCGGCCTGGCCTGCACCACGGCGACAAGCGCGCACACCACCACGGCGACCTGCAACGTGACTACGTTAACGCCGAGCCACGTCCACACACACTCACACACTGCAGCTGCTGCAGCGCGGCGAAGCGCCACTTTCCCTTTCGACCACCGCGTCGTCGCGTCGTCGACGCCGTGCCGTGCCGCGGGTCCACTGGGGTCCACGCCGAACCGAGGCGGCAGCGTGCGGCAGCGCGGACAGGACGAGACCCACCTTGATTGCGGACATGACGGGGGCGGCGGCGATCGGGCGGACGACGGCGGCAGACGACACGAGCGGCGCGGCCGTCGACGAGTGCAGGTGGAGTGAGTCAGGTGGAGTGAGCCCCCGGCGGGGCACGCCTCCTGCTCTTATACGCACGCGCGTACCGACGCGCACGCCGCGCCGCGCCACGCCGCCGGGCACGGGGAGAGGGGCGTGACCATCATCACGCATCACGCATCGCGCATCACGCCGACGGCCGACGTCGTCCTGGTGCTGCCTGCGCCCGGTCGTTATTCAGTAAGACTTCCCGTGTGCGTGTGTGTGTGTGTGTGTGTGTGTGGCACCCGTGTCTCCAGGGCCAGTGCGTTAAGTAGATTAAATAACGCGCAGGACATGGTTGCATCGGGCGTCCCGTCAAATCTGGCGTGCATGACTTAACTTTCGTTTAGCGCGGTCGTTAGTGTGTTCGAACCTGGAGCGAGCGGGTTTGGGCGCGGTAAGGGCCTGGCTGCGTCGTGTGGAGGGAAGCGAGAGGAGAGGGGGGAGGCCTGGTCTTCCCTCATTTGGAAAGAAAGCAGCGCGGCGCCGCGGACTGCACCGCCCCGCCTTGATCTTGACACTGCTGGTCATCTCGACATGGACGACTCGGTCCGGTCGCGCGACCAGCACTACCAGCTTGGCGCGGCACGGCGCGGCACGGCACGGCACGGCGCCCCCATTCAACGCAGTGAGAGTGTCACTCGGTTGGCTCTGTAAATAAACCCGCCGCCAGTGCGGCTGCACCGCCACTGAGTTGCCTACCCGCCGGGCGGCGGAATCATGAACCGCTTTCGTTTTTTCGTCGCCGTTGCCGTGTGCCGACGGAGGACGGAGGGCGTGGCGGCAGCGGGGGCGTGAGTTCGAGGAAGAGCCCGTCGAGTTCCTGGTGCAGCACTGGAGCAGCACTGCATCGCGCACCCGCGAGGCGCCGCCCGGCCCGGCCCGGCCCGCCGACCGTAAAGATACAACGCCCACGACGTGCGTGCGTCTCCCAGATCACACCTCGGAAGTGCAGCGGCGCGGCGGCGCGGCGGGCTGCAGTCTGGAAGCGAAAGGTCGTCGTCGTCGGCCCTTCTCGGCTTGGCCGCCACGTTCAACGCCGCGGCGGCGGCGTCCGAAAGCGCAGGCGCGCTGCCCGGCCGTGCTCGGCGCCCGCTCGCCGCGGTCTTCGGACTGCTTCGGACGCATCCGGAAGGAGGCCGCGGCGGTTAAACGGCGCGTTAAGACGTTAAGACGCAGCACCTGCCCTGCGCGCGGCGCGTTAACGGCGAGGTGCTCCCAAGGCACCGAGAGCAAAGAGAAACTCCGCGGAGCAGAGGAGCGCCGTCAGAGACAACAATGCTGCAAAAGGCAGGCGAGTGTTTACGACAAAAGATGCCAATCGACCCTAGCGGATTATCATTGGGGGCTTCCACGCATCTGTGCAGTTTGGATTGGGTCGTCGCGCGTGTCTGTGTGAGTCTGTCCGTGTGTGCGCGCGCGAGTGCGTGAAGCTTATGGTGAGGTTTCTCTCACTACGTAGTGTGTAGCACGCTATTAAACGGAGTTAATCAAACCATCAAGCCAATTTTCAGAATTTATTGAATATCGCAAATAAATAATACACTAGTATACTTTTTCATTGTAATATCGAAATGAGGAAATCCTATAACGATAAAATAAATACGACGCCGGGAGTTGAATCAGTAGACGTTCCTCTTGTAGATGAGCTTGTCCAGCGAGGGGATGGGCGGCAGGACGTACCGCTGGGTGCCGCGCGATGGCGCTGCTGGTGCCGCGGGCCAGACCACGATGGGCGCGGACGTCCAGCTCTGGCTCCTGGCCGACGAGGGCGCGTCGCCGACGTGGTTGGAGAGATCATCGGCGTCCTGGACGCGGTCCTGGACGCGGCCCTGGTGCGCGTAGCGGAGGACGGTGTCGCCGGGGAGGTAGCCCTGGCGGCTGTACCAGTCCTGCTGCTGTAATTGCTGCGCGTCCCGCTGCTCACTGCTTTGCGCGACTTCCTCCGCGCGTTCGGCGCGCTCCGCCAGGTCCGCCTCCGGCCGGGACATTTGGCGTCGCTGCGGGCCTTGCTGGCCTTGCTGGCCTTGCCGCGGCCTAGCGGCACTGGCTGGCCGCAGGCGCTGGTCCTGCACTGGCGGCCGCCTGCCGCCCTGGAGCGCCAGCAGCGCCCACGCCAGCGGGGACGCCGGCGACGACGACGGCGAGGGCACGACTTCGACGTCCGCGGCCCTGCGCACAGGACAAGTCACTGATTAGCGCTTCCCGAAAACGGGTGGAACTGTACTCGCCATGCCGCAAATGGTGGTCGGGCGTACAGCAGGCGGTCGGTGGGCCGCTTCGGCGGGCGGCGCCGCGGCGGCGAGGGACTCGTCCGGGGGAAGTCCTCGTTCTTCCGCAGGCTGTTCTCGATGCGGACTCTGGACAATCAAACGAGAGGAATTGAAAAGCGATTTGGCGGAGGCACAAAGTGGCGCCGGTGCACTGTAAGACTTACCTGTAGCCCTGGGCGTCGGCGACGTAGTTGACGACGCGCACGTTGCCGTCGGGCTCCACCAGGCCGTAGCTGCCCACCACCGTGCCGTTGGCGAAGCGCTCCTCCTGCCTGAACTGCGTGTTGGCGGTGGCCGCGTCCTCGATCTCGTAGCCGAAGCTGTACGTCCCGGGGCCCTGCGGAACAGCGGGCACACTGTCAACACACTCCTGCCGAGAGCAATTTTGCCTCCCAAGAGCATTTTTGTGACAAGAGCGTGCGTCCTTTATGGTCGCAGAATCGTGATCTTTCTCGAGTTGATTTTCGTGCTTCTCCGCTGATGTTATTTCTCTTTTCCGAATTTTATGTTGTCGGGGAAAGCGTTTAACTTGACTCCCACCTCCCGGAATATCAATACAAGATAATAAAAACAAAATAAAAAATAATAATAAAAGGATGGGTCCGAAACACGCGCATGTCGGCATGGATTATGAGGTTCGATGTCTCGCCCCACCTTCACGAATTTCGAGATGCCGAGATGCTAAACAGATCGAGGAAAACAATGCCTTCCACGTGTCGGGCCGCATTTCATACCGACCGGCAGATCGTACAGCGCCTGCTCGGCCAAATTACATCGCACACTCACACACACAGACACACACACTCTGCTGGGGCGAGAGCGCAATGCCCGGCCAACTATCTGGTGCGTGTATGTCAAGGTCGCGCGCGGGGAACACAATGAGACAGCCCTCGCGGTTCGTCGCGGGTTTTCGCTTACGTCCTGTTCCCGGTCATCGTAGGCGTTCCAGTCCACGACGGTCAGCCTGGCCTGGGCCTCCGCGCTCCCGGACGACGACGACGGCCCCCGGAGCAGCATCGCGACCGTGGGGCCGGGGGCCACCGCGAAGCACGCCACCCAGAGCAGCTGAAACAGAGAGGAAGGCGGGAGACATGATATACGGGCGGTACTTGTCGCGGCGGGATCCAAATTCAAATTTGGCGCGTCCGTCGTAAACGAGCGATCCGATCCGCCGCGCGGCCAGGTCGCCGATTGGCGGTCGATAATTGGCCCGAAAATTGGCCGGGCTTTCTTCCGCGGCGCGTGGGCCAGGCCTGTGCGTTTTCGTCGCTGTCTCTCTCGCACCTTAACGGGACGCCCCATGAGCGCGAGAGAGACAGAGCGATGAAAACGCCTCTCGGAGTCAGCCTGCAGTGTACTGTACTGCTGTCACTGCCCGCACGGGCCGGACCCCACGGTTCGCGACTCGCATATCGAGATCGGGTCGGGAAGTCGGCCTTCTCCGGGTCCGCGGCGACGGAAACTGCCATGGAAATGCAGCGCAACGGTGCCGGACGGCGCTGCCGATTGACCGAGTAATCGAAGCGTTTTCGATTCATTTGGCACGCGGCCGGCCTCTGTCCCGCCAGCACACCGCGCGGCCCGACCGCCTAGACGCCCTGGTGGACCACACAGAGGTGCAGCATTCGGCCGAGGCAGTGCACCGCGCCGCCGCGGTCCCGCTAGAAACTATAAACCGGACGGACGGACTCGGACTCGGGCCGGTAGGAGACATCCTAAATCCCCCCTCCCCCTTCCCCCTCCTCTTTCCTTTCCGCGACCGCGGCCACGGGCAACAGCGAGGTGTGGGTGGCATATATTTCTTTTACGCCTTTATTACAGCGAGGCGCGCGGACTGCTATCTTTCACACAAGATTTGGCTGGGCGGCCAGATTCGATTGCGGGTAGACAGACAGACAGACAGACAGGCAGACAGACAGGCAGGCAGGCAGGCCGAACCTGTAAGTTTCGCGTCAGCCGTACAGTCGTGGTTATTTGTTTTCGAAAATTGCCGCTTCGCGGAAGAGGAGAGAGGAGTCTCGGGCCGGCAGCCCTTTTGGGAGTCCTTTGGGGGCCCTTTGGGGGCCCTTCGGGGCGGCCGCAGCGCCCTTTCGCCTTCCCGACCGCCGTTCTAAGGTTTCGCGAAGGGAAGCGAGGCGGGGACGGCGGCGACTGAAGAGCCACCGGGCGTGGGTGTGTGACAGTGTGACAGTGTGACGGACCCAGGGTAGGTTAGACCGTGACGAGCGTGACGGCGAGCGTGACGAACACGTCGGGGCGCTGCGACAAATCGAACGTGTCTGACGCCTTAATTACTGCTGGGGATCACGCCCCACCCACCGGCCAGGCCAGGCCGTCGGCCGCGGTTTGGTCCCCTGCCAAAACGAGGGTCCTGTCCAGGCCCGCCCTCGAGCAGCGCACGGACGGTGCAGTGGAGGCGCGAGGCACGCCACAGGTGCTTCGTCGCTCTGTCTCTCTCGCTCCCCTACGGCACGCGCCGTGAGTGCGAGAGAGACAGAGCGAGGAGAGCGCACCGTTCGGTACGAGGGTGCAGGACGAGGAAGTGCTCACTGTCCCAGTGCAGACGGACGGGACGGGCGTTACGGCGGCCGGCTGCACCTGGCCGCCCCACACCGTCGGGGCCCCGATAAAAATAAAACTAGAATGAGGTTTGAGCGGCGACAAAGTGGCCGTAAAGGCAACCGAGCCGCCCTGCCGGTCCGCGACGACCGCGACGACCGCCACCCACCGCCGCAGCCGCATGGGCGCTATGGGCACTGCTTGGTCGGCCACTGCATGAAACGGTGGGAATAACTAACGAAATGAATAAACAGGGATGTTTTCGTAGCCGACGACATCGACTCCGTTTTCCGGGTGGCTCCCTCATGCAGAAGCACGCGTCATTGCCGTGCCTGCCGTGCAGCGTGCAGGGCAGCGGCCAGGCGGCCGGGCAGCGCGCTTGTGTAACGGAGATATTGACATTCATTTGCAGGGCTTCGCACGTCAGGCCGTCAGGCAGCAAGGCGGTGGCCACGGCCTGGTGGGCCCTGGCTGAGTGGCGGCAGACTGATTCCGAGAGTCGTTTTCATCGCTCTGTCTCTCTCGCACTCATGGGGCGTCCCGCATAGGTGCGAGAGAGACAGAGCGACGAAAACGACTCTCGGAATCGGTCTACTGGGATAAGGGCGAGCCCCGGCTAGCCCGCTATGAGTCCCTATGTCTAGTGGCCGGCCTGTCTTCTGCCTCGGAGCATGTCTTCTGCCGATGCCGCCAATGGTCGCCGTCGCCGCCAAGCTGCCCGGGAAGGCTCGGCGTCCAGCCAGCCGCCTACGGAGCCTCCGAACTACGGAGAGGACCGCCGCCAGCGCCGCTAGCCAGCGTGGGGACCTTAATAAATTGGAAGCCACGGCTTTGTGGGAGGGACGCGAGACGAGGAATCGAGGGGTTATTGGACTGGTCTGGCGCCGCGTCTAGCGCGGCCGAGGCTTGGACACAGCGATCCCGGAGGGAACTCGAGGTTTGCTTTCAGGAAGGCCGAAAACCACGACCAGCGACTCTGTAGAGTCTGCGCTGGGAGAACAGGGATGATTGGCGCGAACTGAATTCACTCGGTGGCAAATCGTTATGTCGAGGGAAGAGAAAAGTGATACTCTGGCGTGGCCGAAACGGACCGAACAGACACGCATCTAAAGGCCATCTTCGGCCCCGGCGGCGGCACCACGCGACCCATTCGAGAGAAAATGTCAGCAATCTTGGCAGAAAAGCCGAAACTCGTTCCGAAGAGGTAGAAAGTAGCCGAGTAGCCGTTACGAAGAAAAGCCCCGAAGCGGGATGACACAACGATGGCCGCATCGGCGCACACTTACCGTCCAGCTGCCGGCCGCCGCCATGGCCACGGCCGTGTGCCCCTGGCGCCCTGGCCGACGACGGGGGTCGAGGCCGCCGCCGAGGGTCGCCGTCAAAGGTCGCCGCCGAAGATCGCCGCCGAGGACTGCCGTGGGTAGCGGTGCGCGCGTCTAGGGGTCGCGTCCTGACGGGTAGCTGGTGTCTCGCGATGGGTCGCGGCGGGTCGCGGCGGGTCGCGGTGGGTCGCGGTGGGTCGCGATGTAATGGGTCGCGGCGGGTCGCAGCGGGTCGCGGCGCCTCCTCCAGTGCCGGTCCGGACTGCGTGCCGCCCAACTAAGACTGTGGCTGGCACTCGGAAAATTGTTGCGAATGGATGGGAGGCCAAACAGCACCTCCACCGGCGTCCACTGCTGCTGTTGTTGTTGCTGTTGTCGCTGTTGTTGGCACGGCGGCCGCCGCCGCCGCCGCGAGTTGCTGCAGCGGCGCGACCGCTACCCACGCCGCTGTATGCGGGCGGCGCTGGCGGCGCTGGCGGCAGGACTTCCCTCCCCGCCCATCTCGACTGTTCACACGGTCCGCAGCGCACAGCGCGGCAGGCAAATTCGCGAACAGTTGTTTCCGATCCGGAGATTAATTAACCATAACCATAATCGGAACGGTGAGCCAGATTCGTGCAACTTTAATTTCTTTCGCAGAGTTGTTCGTAAGGCGCGGTGGTTTCGACGGGAGACCAGCGTGGATTGAATCCCCGACCCACCAGATATAAACATGGAAACGGGTGACAGGACGATAGAAATAGACCACCGTCAGCCGCCCGGCCTGGTCCGGCTCACTGCAGGAGTTCTCCAGTTCCAGCTTCCAGACTCGTTCCAGGCAGTTTCTCCTCCAGGCGCCCTCTCCGCTCATTTCCAGGGCGACGACTCCGACACAACGAGAGGAGTGCATCCCGGGTCGGGTTCCGAGTTCCCGGCCAGAAAAGTGTCCAGCTCGGATTTTTGGCGGCGGTCTGGCCGACAGCATTGAACGGCCTGGCCCGGCCGTGGCGAGCCGCGCCTCTCCGAGCGTCTGTTATCAGATGGAGTGGACTCCGGTTCACAGCGCCACCCGAGCAATCCAAGCAATCCGAGCAATCCAAGCACGCACAGAGGAGAAGGGCAGTGACTCGCTAATTGTTTCTAATTGGTGTGACACTAGCAGTAGGAAGGCGGGGCGGCAATACCAACAGTGGGCAATTATTATTCCGACTGGGAACGAGCAAATGCGTTGAAGGGACGAAATGGGCTTTTATTTGCTTCCGCGATATCTAATCCATGCCTCCGGAGGCCCTCTCAGTCGGACATAAGACATAAGATCCGTAGTCCTTCAATCGGACCCAAATCACACATACGACAGAGCCGACGGACTCCTCTGTTGAAGGGCAAGTCATTGGCGCAGCTTGTCTCGAGCCCAAATTGGGACTTTAGGACTAAGCGGCGGCGTGTCCGCCTGAAAGGGGCAATCGTTACGGCAGAGCGCCTTAATGCTTCCAGGCCCTCATACGCCGCCTTTCTACCCGCAGACTGATTCCGCGGAGCGCCTCGTCTGTCTCTCTCGCACCCGCACGGGACGCCCCGAGAGTGCGAGAGAGACACCGCGACTGCTCCGAACCAGCCCGCGGGACTGGCTCGAATCGATCGGTGGAGGAATCGGCACGCCGAGTGGCGGCGCGTGTCTCCACGCCGCGCGGCGCGGGCAGCGCGGGACGGCGGGATGGTCCCCGCGGCTCGACGGCGTGGCTCGGCGGCGCGGCTCGCGAGGCCCTCATGCCAGTGCCATAATTATGACAGCGCCGCATTCACTTTCTCTGCAGACGACGCAGTGCACGCCGCGCCACGCCACGCCACGCCGCGCCACGCCCGCGTCTAGTCCGCGCCGCGAGGCTCGGCCAGTTCGATTACCTCTCCTGACATCACCCCGCCCCGCCCCGCCCCGCCCCGCCCCGCCCCGCCCCGCGCGGGGCCCGATTAACTGGACTAAGGGACAAGGTGGGCACACCGAGGCCGCAGCCGCAGCATTGACCTTGGGGGGCTGGCGGCGAGGCCGGTGCAGGCCGGGCCGGACTGCCGGGGAGGGAACGGCACAACGCCACCTGCCTTCCAACACTCCGACGCGCCGACGCCGTTTTACTGGTATTTCAGCGCGGACAATCCGCCTGGAAGCGTCCGGGATCGTTTTACACAGCGGCCTGCTCCAGGACGCCGACGACGACGACGTGGCAGATTTCCGGAGATTTCGCCAACGATTCTGCGTGTTCCTCCTAATTGAACCATTTTTCATCGTCGAGATACGCGGAGACAGACGGAGAACAAAACCGTGTGCCGCTGATGACGAAGGCGTGTCCCACTCACTGCAGCGGCTTTGCAGCGACGAGGAGAATTTTAATGAAATTTATCATGCCGGGCGGTGACACCTGTCGCGATAGCGTGGTGTGGTGGGCCCCGCCGATCACCGCGCACGTCGCCCTGGACCACGCCGTGCCCTGCCGTCGTCATGGTTACCGGTCGCCTCGGTCTGGGTCACGGCGGTCGCGCCAAGGGCGACTCCCTCTCCAAACGTTCAACATAACTTCATTTTTCAGTTCTAACTCTTGTTGATTTTTCGTGACGGGGGTCTCGCCGGGGCGGCGCGGTGGTTCCCAGCCGCCATCAACATGACTGCTTTCGGTGATGGATGGAGTGCGGTCGGTGATGTGGGTGGCATCGGCCGCCCTGGGCGCCTTGGCGGACAGACCGGACCGGACCCGGCGTGACTCGCTGAATCGCGGCGGGTGCACGCCGGGCACACCGAGCACGCTCTCACGCTGAGGAGCTCGCGGCTCGCATCGCGTGCCGGCCAGCGGCTCCAGCGGCCAGCGGGGTCATCCGCGGAGCAGCACTCTGCGCCGCGCTGATCATGATCATCATGAGTGTGGTGCGCGTGGAGTGGAAAGCGGGGCCTCTTTTCGGCACTTCTGGTCGTCGCGCGGCGCCACCGCCACTTGAGCGCCACTTCCGCCTCGCCAGGTAGCCGACGGTACTGCTTTGCGTGTCGCCGTTGCCTGCCTTCGCCTTCCCGGCGTCCCGGCGTCCCGGTGTGACTGTGACGCGCGCTAACGTCTTCGCCGGCCGCGGGTGTGTCCAGTTTAGCTCGGATTTGCGGAAGTCCGTGCGGAACCCGTGCGGACGCTGCGGAACTTGCGGACGCATGCGGAACTTGGCAGTATTTCTCTGAAAATGCATTGAAATGACTCAACCGACATATTTTTGGAAAGGGGAGAGTGCGAGGATCATCATCGTGTACTCACTTTTTGATTTTGAGGCCTTATTATTGGATAAATGTGCTTTGTTTGACTTTGTAAAGTCGAGGCGGCGGGCAACATGCTGCGCGCCCGAAAAACTCATTAAAATCTTTAAAATAGCCCTAGAAAGGATCACATCGCTATGTTTTTAGAAAGGAGGAGGCAAAGGAGTGCAACAAAACGAAAAACAGGATTCCACAAGACCTCCAGTTTGAATAGAAGCCGTTTGAAACGTACTGTTGTGAAAACATCGGCTGCGCTGACGAATTTCTCATATCTAAGAAGCTCTCTTGGTGGAGTATGAAAAATTCATCGGTGCAGCCGATATTTTCACAACATTACGTTTCAAACGGCTTCTATTCAAACTGGAGTTCTTGTGGAATCCCTATTTTCGTTTTGTTGCACTCCTTCGGCCTCCTCATTTCCAAAAATATAGCGGTCTGACCCTTTCCAGTGCCATCGTAATGATTTTAATGAGTTTCTCGGGCGCACAGCATGTTGCCCGCCGCGTCGACGTTACAAAATCAAACAAAGTAAAGTTATCCAATAAAAAGGCCTCAAAATCAAAAAGTGAGTACACAATGATGATCCTCGCACTCTCCCCTTTCCAAAAATATGTCGGTTGAGTCATTTCAATGCATTTTCAGATAAATACTGCCAAGTTCCGCATGCGTCCGCAAGTTCCGCAGCGTCCGCACGGATTCCGCACGGACTTCCGCAAATCCGAGCTAAACTGGACACACCCCGCGTCTTACGTCGCGCGCCCGGCCGGCCGGCCGCGCCGCCGCGCCGCACGACATGACATGCACTGCTGGAGCGGCCGGGCCGCGGCGACGCGGGAAAGCGACCGGAATGTGTAGCCAGTGTAGCGGCGACCGGTCCGAAGGACCGCGTCGTGGCGCTGTCTCGCTCGCACTCCAACGGGACGCCACACGCGTGCGACGGAGACTCGGGAATCGGTGTGCAGGCTCGGCTGCGGGCCGCGGACCGCGGGCAGGGGCCTGATGATGTGTGGCGCGCGCGGCCGCGGGACGAGTTCGTCACCAGTGGCCGGTCGTCGTCACTTCGTCACCGCGCTCGTTACAGTGCAGCCGCGCGGCCGCGCCACTGAGCTCGTCAAGGCAAAAGCCCGTACCGTCTGGTCCATTTCAACGCCAATTTCGGTATCGGCCAGCGGGAAAAATTTCAGCCGTCAGGGAATCATGATGACACATGGAAACATTTTGTGTTAATGAGCGCGAGAAAGAGCGACGAAAACGGCCCTCGGAATGAGGGGGCTGGTTGTCGAGCGCCGCCACCACACCTGCGCGGAGCGTTGCGTCTTTCAGCCTGCCGAGCTGCCTGCCTGAGGCGCGGGCACGCGGGCACGCGGCCACGGGACATGCTCTATGGGATGTCGGCCCGATGCTGTTCGTTTTCCAACACGAGTCCGCCGCGCCTGGCCGAGCCACTGCAGAGCGAGAGCGAGCTGACGCCATGCCGGCGACACGGCGGTACGCGAGGGGAGATCTCCGAGAAATATCATTGTACGCGAGAAAAACAACATTAAAATCAGAGAAAACAAATAAAAGTAAAAATAAAATATTTAACGGTTTGGACCATACTGAGCCCCGCTCGGCGACAGGCCACCGCACGCGGGGCGACTGCCATGGCGCCTCCCGCGTGCCGTTGTCGTGTCGTTGCCGTTCCCCCGCACGGCAATAACGCGAAGCCCGAACCCCAAATCCGAAAAGGACTTCCACTACTGTGGCGCGCACGGGCCGCGGTACGGGAACACGCCCACGACGACGACGACGGCGAACGGACTTCGGGCGGGCTCGCCTCGGCCAGGGCGCGGCGTGGGCACGGGGCGCGGGGCAGGGGCCGCGGGAGGCGCGTACATCATCATTCGCTATCGGAGGCAGCATCGGAAACCAAAGCCAGAGACGGTGAAGGGGACAGTGTCAACGTCCAGAGAAGCGCTGTGGGCTGGGCGCGGCGAGCCCGGCCGCCGCCCGGCGGGTAGGCAGCCAGCGTGCACCGGTGCGCGGGATGCGTGTGGTGGTCTACCCTGGAGGCTGCAGGCGCCCAGCCTGTTTGGCTTGGTTGACGATGTGGACGACGGCGGTGTCGTGTGGAGTCCGGGGGGCGTGGTGGCGCGTGGTGGCGCGAGGCGGCCGGAGGGGGCCGGACTGGAGGCACTGCGTCCCCCGTGGCGTGGGGCACGGCACGGCAGGGTGGGGCAGGGCAGGGCAGGGAGGGTCTGTCCACACGTCCATATAAGTAGCCTGGACTCGGACTCGGAACACTTATTGCAGTCCGATCCCGGTCCGCTCGCGTCGCGCGTCGTCTCACTTTCCCGAGTTGCGGGCCGCGCTCCGAGACTCTCGGCCGACAGCCCGGCGACGCGACGGCGGCCGCGTCGACGCCGTCACCATGATGGCAGCAGCCCTGCCGCCCGGGAGGTCGCGGACGCGGCGCGGACCCGCGGACCTCGCCGCCGTGGCGCTGGCGGTGCTGGCGGTGCTGGCGACGGCGTGCACGGCCAGGGCGTTCCCGCGGCCGGCCACGTACGGCTCCTCGATCTACCACGTGTCGCCGCCCATCGCCTCCAGCCACCAGGTGAGGCGGCCAAGACGGACCCAGTGACGTGCCGCGTGGAGCGGCCCACAGTGCCGAATCGAACAGCAGCGTGCTGTGTGGTTGAAACTCCATCCCGGGAGACGCGCGGTCGAAGCGCCTGCCGCGCAGGCAACCCAACTGCCATTCCACGGCCGTTGTTCCCGCCTCCACCACAGTCTTGTCAACGACTCTGCTCGACGCGCTTCTAAAGCTCGCTTCTTTCTGTCAAGTAATTGTGGGGTGCTTTTCAGTCCGTGACGCTGAGTGAGGAACGTGTGGTGCACTCGGTGGACCACGCCCTGGAGCGGTCGCACGACCAGGACCACGAGCACGAGCCGCCGTCGCCCTACAAGTTCGAGTACAAGGTGCACGACCAGAAAAACAGCAACTACCACGAGCGCGCCGAGTCCAGCGACGGCAAGGTGGTGCGCGGGTTCTACAGGTCAGACTAAAAATCAAACACTTTTGAGTTTTTTAAGCTTCTGAAATGGCATGAAAATGAAGTTGTCGCTCTTTTCGGTTTTCGGCAGCCTGCTGGAGCCGCACGGCGAGGTCCGCGTCGTCAAGTACCGCGCCGACCACGGCGGCTTCAAGTCCGAGGTCTCCCGGCACGGCAGCAGCCACGGCAACACGCACGGCGGCGGCCTCGGCGCCACCATCGGCAGCGGCCCGTCGCACGACCTCGGCAGCCACGGCCTCGGCGTCAGCGCCTCGGCGCCAGTGCCCGCGCCGGTCCACGTGCACATCCCCGCCCACACCAAGACGTCCATCCCCATCCACGAGGACAACGACGAGGGCGGCAACCAGTGGGCCGCCATCGAGGACCCCAAGAAGGGCGGCATCAGGACTCATGGCCTCGAGGAGATCCCCGCGCCGGTAAGTGTCCGGCAGTCTCGTTTCGGGCGGGTGCGAAAAATACAGTGTCATTGCAACTTCCCTCGTCTGTTCAGTCGAAAGAGGCGCTGGGCAAGCCCCGCCTGCCGGAACAGATCCTGCTGCAGCAGCACAAGAAAAAGCCCACCTTCCAGCCGTCCAAACCGTCGCACCACCACAAGTACCTCAAGAGGCCGCCGCCGTCCCTCCACCACGGGCCGCGGCCGGGGCCGCCCGGCGGTCCGAGGCCTCTGGGCCCGCCGCACTTCCACCACCGCGGCCCCAAGCGGGGACCCCAGGTGGGGCCCCGGCCCCGCAACGCCGTCGCCGGGCCGCCGCCCCTGGGGCCGCCACCGGGGCTCGGCACCGCCCCCTCGCCGCAGCTGCCACAGCGGAGGGAGGCGCGGCCGCCGCCAACCCCCTGCAAGTGCAGCGAGCAGCCCCCGGGCCACGCGGCGGGCCACCCTCCCGGCCTGCAGGGCCTGCTTGCCGCCAGCAGACGCCAGCTGCATCTGACCTGATTGGCCTCGGCCTCCCTCGGCCACCCTCGACGCCAAAGTCCCCGAAGTCCCGCCACTGGACGCCGTGCTCGCGGGGCTGCACTCGGGGTGCGCTAAGTCAGTTTGTCGAAGGCGCGCTTAGTCTGTGCGCTGGCCTGCACCAAAAATCACTGGACAGTCATCTGTGCCTCTTTTGACTGAAGCGAGGCGGTGCGGGCGTGGTGCTTCTCGCGCTTCGAGGACCTCAAATTGAAACGACGGCGCTGCAGTTCCCGGTGACTCGGTTGGAAGGGCCGATCGGAGCGTCGTCGCCTCTAATTTGACGTCTGGCCGCGCGGCGCGCACGTCTATGTACAGCGGCAAAGTCAATTATTGTATTTATTATAACTGCTCACTTTGTTAAATTATGTAGGTCCTATGTAAATTATTGTCGTGTATATCTGTATATGTGATAGAAGTTAGGGTAGTTTAGTCCACCTATCTGTGCGAGTCGGTTATCGACTGTGATACGATGATGATGATTACGAAATACAAGGAGTGACAAAACTTCCGCTTCCTTTCCTGGAAGAGCAGCCCGATGACGCGTTGTCGCGGTCGGTGCGGTGGCGGGCCGTGGCGCCCGGGCCCCGCGTCGCTGGCCGCAGTGAACCAGCCGTTTTTCAATGATTTGCCACTTTTTCAGCGATTGCGACGGACTTTCCGCTTTAAATCCCGCCGCCCACGCCACTCGGATATTCCCCTGTGTACAAGTCCCTCAGAGGCGTAAACAGACAGGGCTACCGGGCAAAAAAGGGGGGACGGGATTGAGCAGCGTAGAGGGCGTACAACGTGACTCCTGCGTCAAAACTTTCAAAGCGTCAAAATCGTCAAAAATGACCAAAAATTGAACGACGCCAAAATGGCCACGCGATGAGACGGTTGTTCGTTAACCGCAGGGCAAACGGCGCGTGCAATGCCTTCCTCCCCCCCCCCCTCCTCCCGTCCGTAATGACGCCTGTCCCCACGGCTCACCTATCTAAGCATGAAGAGCACCGGAGTGCTTTTGACACGCCTGAGCCAGCCCGCCAGGAGCGATGCGCCACCGTGCTCCCCCCGCTGCCCGCTCCATTCCCCTCCGCCCCCCTCTCCTCCATTCCGACAGCCGCTTCTTTTTTTGTCACCGCGGTGCGATTTTATAAAAGACAGCGGTCCGAGCCGAAGTGGCGCATCGCTTCACTTGATCGATTCCGCGGGGCTTTACTCGTCCGCGCGGGTCGCCTGGTCCCCTGGTTCGCAGCTCCGTGTTTTTCGCCGCTACCGCCGAGTCCCCGTCGACAGCGCAGCGCGGCATGGCGGCGACCCTCTTCGTCCTGGTGCTGCTGGTGGCGCGCGGCTGCGGCCTGGTGCACGTAAGTCAGTGAGGGATCTGTGAGAGATTTGTGGCAGCGCGGTATTAAGGCAGGCCGTACAGCAGACTGGCGTCTTTCTTTGCCTGACTCTTGGCGTCGTTCTCGGCTTGCAGGCGCAGGAGGGCATGACGCCGGCCGAGGCGGTGGTGCGCGCCGGGCTGGGCGTGGCGGCGCAGGGCACGCGGTCCGCCGGCGACGTCCTGGGTGCCTACTTCGGCGCGAGCCGCAACCTGCTGGAAGCGGGCGCGGGCATCGGCACCGCCGTCGTCTCCTCCGCGGCGGACGTGGTGAACGCCAAGATCGGCGCCGTGCGGGACACGGTGGGCGCGGGGCTGACGGCCGGCCGCGTCGTCACCGGGGTGGTGGCCGACAGCGCGGCGCGGGGGCTGTCCACTCTGGGCGGGCTGCTGCCTCCGGCCGAGGACCCCGCCGGACGGAGGAGGAGGTCGCCGGGGTGCTCGGCCTGCGGGGGCGGCTACGGCGGCGGCGGCGGCTACGGCGGCGCGGGCGGAGTCGCAGGAGGCATCGCAGGGGCGGCTGGTGTCGCCGGGGCGCGGGCCGGGGTGCTGGGTGGCGGTATCGGCGGCGGCGGCGGGGGCTTCAGGGCGGGTGGCGTCGGGGCCGTGGGTGGCATAGGGGGAGCGGTGGGAGGGGCGCGCAGGGGGCTCGGCGGTGGGCTGCTAGGGGCGGCAGCAGGCGGAAAGGTAGCGGGGGGAGCCATCGGCGGGGTGCTGGGCGGGGGCAGACTGGGAGGCGCTGGTGGTGGCGGGGGCGGCCTGCTTGGGGGCAAGATAGCCGGGGGTGTGTTCAAGGCCGGTGGTGGCGTCCTCGGCGGCGGCGGTCTTCTAGGCCGGCGGAGACGACACGCGGACCGGTTTAGCGCCGACTTCCGCCGTGGCGAAGGGGGGCGCCATCGGCGCAACGTCGTGGACTCGGTGATGAAGCGCCTCGGCGAGGACGGCATCGTCACCGGCAAGCAGGAGGAGGTGCCAGAGGGTGCGGCTCCAGAGGCCCCGCCACCAGAGGGACAAGTTCCCCCGGAAGGGCAGCCCCCGCCGCCACCGCCGCGGAAGCCCCACCACGGCGACGACGACGACTTCGAGGAGGATTGGAAGAAGCACGACGAGGAGTTCCGAAAGTTCATGGAGGACTTCCACAAGGACGACGACGACGACTGGGACAAGGACTTTTTCGACCACAAGTGCAAGGGCAAGACCCCGGGCGCGGCTCCGGGCAGCCCAGCTGCAGACCCGGCCGCACCGCCGGCCAACGCGCCGGAGGCGACCACACCGCCGCCAGCCATGATCGACAACATGTCGTGAAGTACAGTCTGAGTCATCGCCACGTTGGGACCTGCCGCCTCAAGGGTGGGGCGTAATGCTGTACATTGCTGCTGTAAAGGAATAGGGTATACTGTAATTAAAGCACGTTTTATTTATAAAAATAAGTCTTATTCATTGAATGTGTGCATTCAGTCCGGTTCAGTTCGAACACATTGATCTTCCACTCGTTTAGCCAACAATTTGTGCCATCGCTCCTCTCCTCGTTTTGATTCAGCTGACGGGCTGCAGGACGAAGACCTGCCCCGTGTCCTCGTCGTGGACCCTGCCGGTGCGGGGGTCGAAGGCCAGCCTCCGCACGAGTCCTGCGGCGTCCTGCGTCTGCCCCGGCGTCTGGCGGGCGTTTCGGGGCGCGAGGGCCGCCGTCGTGGCCGAGGTGGGCACGCCGCCCTGGAACACGCTGCCGGGGAAGTCGGCCGGGAAGAAGGCCGTCTTGCTGGACTTGGCGGCCATGCCGACGGTGGGCGGCGGCGAGGGCGGCTGCCGCTGTGGCGGTGGCCGCGAGGTCGTCCTGGGCCGCGGCACGGGGTGCGTGGGCGCCACCGTGGTGGTCGTCGGCCTGGCCACGTACTTCTTCCGGTAGGCCCGCCGGCCCCCCGGCGACTCGGCCCCGGACGCCGCCACCCCCGACGCCGCCCCCGACTGGTCCAAGAAGGACTGACGCTTGTACTGCGGCCGAGGGGCGTCGTCGACCTGCTCCGCGATGTCCGGCACTGGGGCGCTCTGCGGGAGGGAGAGAGAGCGATGTTGAAGTGGGTCACCGGAGCGTGTACAATACATGCGTCAGGCCGTTAGGGTGGCGTAGGCTTCGGCCAGGCATGCAAGCTTTAGGCGGGCCAAAACAGAAACAGGAAGGGGAGTGGGTCAGGAGGTCAAGAAGCCTCAGGCAAGCCGCGGTGATCCCGAAACGGGACCCGGACTCACCCCTTCGCCGCCGCCGTCACCCTGCGACAAAACAAGTGTCAAAATTAAAAATGATTTCCAGCAGAGGTTAGAAATAATAGGTAAGAATCGCAGTTGCAGAACAAAACTTACATCGCCGTGGTGGCCACCGTGGTTGTAGTCCCAGTAGTGCTCTCCGTAGCCCCCGTGCTTGTCACCCCAGCGAACCTGAGCTCAAGAGCAGGGTGAGTAAAACCAGCCGGAAAAAAAGACCGCTCCGCGTCCGCGCGCGAGGGACTCGCAACGAGACCCACCTTGCGCGCGGCGCGGAATCGGCGGCGAGTTCAAAATTACCGTTGTCAAAAAGCAGCGGGGCGGGACAAGCCCATCGGACAAGTCCCAAGCCCAGCACAACCAGCCCAGGAAGCAGAGACAAGTTTGTAAACAGCGAAGGGGTGCAGGGAGAGGAGACTTTGGCGGAGTTTGTGTCCCCGGCCGCCGCCAGCGCCGCCAGCGCCGCGCACGCGGCGGGCACGCGATGGGACCGTCCCTTGCGTGCGCCAACTAGTTACCCTGGACTGCTCACCGGGACGACCGGGACGCAATCATTAATCAAAAGTGCAGGGGTAATCCACGGTGACTGAGGCAGAGGCCGCGGGGCTGCGGCCGAGGCTGGCAGAGGCTATTCCGGGAAGGTCCTTGTCCTTGGCGCCGGACGCGGCGCTGATTGGCTGCGGCACGCGCGGCGCAGCCAAACGCCAGCAACGCCAGTCCGGTGGACATGGAGAGCCTCTTCCTGGAGCATTGGACTTGCGCTTCGCGGCCCGGCGAGGCGCCGCGGTCATGGTCTGCTGTCTGTGTTCGGAGCGATTCGTTCCCGCAGCGCGCCGCGCGGACTCAACTCTGGCACACGTTTGGTCCTCAAACAGGACTCGAAGCTCCTGTCGCGTTCGGGGAGTGCAAGCAGAGCCATGTCCACCGAGACTGTGGTCCTTACTTTGGTGGTGAAGTGGCCGTGCTTGGGCGCGGCCTTCTCGTGCCGCTCGTGGAAGTGGTGCTCGTTGCCGCGCCGGAAGCCGTTCTCGTAGTGGTCCTTGCCGTCGTGGTGGCCGTACCTGCGTGCGACAAGCAAAGCCTTGCAGCGTGGACAGAGAGGGAAGGGAAGGCACTCGCCGCACCCAGGCCAACGACTCCTCGTTCAAGCAAGCGGGCAAGTCAGGGCGCTAGCTGCACGAGGGAAAGAAGAAAGAGGTTCCCGCAGCTGGCGGCGTCCACGCCGTTGGCGCGGAAATGCAGAAAAGCGCGCCAAACAAAGAAAACAAAAGCTGCGGCCGTTTCGGTGGTGTGCAGCGCCCGGCAGCGCCTCGTCGCCACCGCGGCGGCGCGGTGGGACGGGAAGCATGCACCCCGCCCCTCCCCTCCCCTCCCCTCCCCGCCAGCATTGATATGTAGGTCTAGGTGCTGTGTCCGTGTCCCTGCAGGGCCTGCACAGTGCTGCAGCCGAAAGGGTCGGGCCGAGCGAGGGGGCCGCGCCTGCTTTGGCATGATTGTTTGCCGCTACACATGCAGGCATGCCGAGGCATGCAGGCCCCCGCCAGGCTCACGGCAAGGACGGCCGCCTCCGCGTCTCACTCCCCCAGAAGCAGCAGAAGAAGAAGGAAACGCATAGCCAGAGAAGAGTGCCCCTGACACCGTGGCGGCGGAGTCCAGCGGAGTCGGCAGAGTACCTGGCCCTGGTGGTGCGACTTGTCCAAGTCCTTCCGCTCGAAGCGCTGCTCCCACTCGTTGGGGTCCTCGCACACGTGCCCGAACTCGACCTGGCGCGGCCCGTACTGCAGCGAGTAGAAGTCCCTACGCACCGCCAGAGGCAAAGGCAGAGGCGCCACACCGCCACACGTTCAGACTGTTCGTCGACAAGCGCGACCGCCGCGACGAGCAATCCGAACCCGAATCCGAATCCGAATCCGGATCTGAATGAAAAAGACGCTGACTCACTGGAAGAACTTGCCGTGGCCGTGCATGGCGGCGGCGCCCGCGCCCGCACCCGCCGCCATCATCTTGGTGTCGGTGGAGTCGCCATCCATGTCCTGCAGGTCGCGCTCCGGGTCGCCGCGGCCCTCGGCTGCGGGGCAAGGTCACGGAGGTCACTTCAGGCAAGGACGACCCCCCGCGAGGGTCAATTCAAAAACAGTCCCAACTCACCTTGCAGCGGCGACGTCGTCACGGTGGCCTTGTCCGCGGCCGCGAGCGCGACGGCGAGCAGCACCTGGACAGGCGGAGTCTGAGTCATGAACCGGGCAGCGGGCCTTCTGCCTGCCATCGCAGTCATTTCGGTCATTTCCCTGATGGAGCCGGCCCGACCCGCGGCTCCTCTAACCTCGTTCCGTGTTTTCTTTCTTCTTTTTCTTTCTTCTTTCTTCTTTTCGTCCCGCTGACTCCATTCATCCCCTTGATGTGCCTAACACAGCCCGCTTCCGTTCGCAGTCCAAGCAATCTGGTTCAATCCTTTCTCTCGGCATTCTTTTCCCCATCATCAACGTTAGATTTTTTTTTTGCAACGGGTTTATCATTGCCATAAATTTGAAAAGCTGAAAAGAAAATTTCTGAATTCTGGACGTCCAGCACTTTTCAGCACTGCGGCACTTGTAGCACTCACCAGTAGAGGGTTGGTCGGGGACATGCTGACGACGGAGGCTCCGCAGAACGAGTGCCTCGCCAGTACTCTGCGTACCAGTATTTGACAAGGTGGTCCTCCCCTCCCCTCCCCTCCACCAGCCCCCCTCCTTCCCCCACCCCCTCCCTCTCGCTATCGTTCATAACGGTTTCTAAAGAAGTGGTGCCTACTGGGTCGTAGCGATCGCCTTATTGGCTCCAACGTGGAAAAAGTCCCTTCCCTCCTCGGCCCCTTCCCCTTTTCTCCCTCTCTCTCTCTGTGGCTCGTCCTGTCTCTCTCTTCGGCCGGAGCCACCTTGCGTCGGGCACACCGTTGCCTCACAACGGATGTAGTAATTACACTGACCATCTTCATGGTATGTATACGCTATGAAATATTTGTCAGGCTAATCCGAAATCAGCCGTACTGAAGTACTACATAGAAGAGGCACAATAGCCGAACGAAATGGTCTAAAAGGAGGTTTCTTGAGGCGGGCCGCCGCCCGCGCTCCGCCAACCGGTAGCGTGGCCACCGCACCGCACCACGGTCACGTCGTCACGTTGGGCGGCAGGCCGGCTGGGCGGGCAGCACACTGCGACGTGGCTCTCAAGTTTATCCGTTACGCCATCCTAGTCCTTGACGTAATGCTGAACTTCGAAGCCCAGTAGCGACCCGGCAAACGGTCGATAATTTCGAAAACGAGTACATTTTTAAAACCAGCTGAAATAGGGTGTAGGGCATAGGGCTTTAGAATGGGCCATCTTACTTTTTGAATGTCTCAACCCAAAAAGTGTGTTTTTCGACGATTCCTCAGAGGGGGGGGGGGCATGGTCCGTCCGCAGTCCGCAACGACAAAATAGACCGATGTGGAACGGTGGGACCGGAAATTTGGTTCCCAGTCCCGTTGCCAACCACGCGATATGCTATGCCCCGCCTGCACCAACATGTAAAGGTCGGCAAAGGCCCTGCCGAACGGGATGTCGCATGCTGCATGCTCCCCCGTCGCTCTCGCCACGCCGCCGCGACGACCTCGAGCAAGGCGTCATCGTTTGCCGCCCACTTTCCTTGGGTGCTGTCTGCGGCAGGCGAGGCAGGCGAGGCGGGAACAACCCCTACGGGTACCTGTGTGGGGTGGGGCAGGGCGTGGTCCGTGTGGCGTTGCGCGGCGAGGCGGAGGGGTGTCGGCCGCGCGGGGCTTCCCCCGCCCCAGCGCCCCGCCCCACCCCGCCCCGCCACACCCCACCCCGCCCCGCCCCGCCCCGCCCCGACAGGACCGCTGACTGAGCGGCTGACAAGATCACCGCGCCCCGGCCCCGCCTGCATGGGCCACATTTGCACCAAGTGCCGCGAGTGTACCGGGCCGGGCGCTGAAAATGGCCGGGACTGTACAGAACAGCGTATGTCGCTTGGGAAAGCCCGAGGGAAAGCCACGGCAGATACACTCTTCTACTCGCCGAGCAGTGAATTCCGACCCAGGGATGCAGCGCGCTCCTAAGGCCGTGCCGTAACGGTCGCGGCGGAGGACGTGCAGGCCGAGGCCGTGGACCGTGGGCACGCACAAGCAACCCTCGCCGGACCGGCCGGACTTCTGCCTGGCCGCGGTCCGGACGGTCCGGGACAATGCGAGCCACCAAGACGAGACGAGGAAGATGAGGAAGAGGAAGGGTTTGATGATCGCCGCGCTTAGAACAATGGAGGCACCCTCGGGGAAGGGTCGGCTGGCCGGCCGGACCCTAATGCTCGTTCCGAAATAGCCAGTGGGTAGGCGTCCACGGTGCGCCCGGCGGGGAGGGGATGGCCGCGCGGACAGGCGGACACCGAGGTCCCCGTCGTGGGAAAGGCGCCCGGACACCTCCGGGGTCACGTGGTGTGGCGGTAGCATCGGCGAGCCTCCGGCGACGGCGAGGAGCTCAGTCAGTCCGCGGCCGCCGTTCCAGCAAGCTCCTCTCCAGCGCCAGCCCCAGCAGCGCCGCGCCACCACTGCAAGCACTGCGTCCCCGCGGCCCACTGCCCCCGTTGCGAAACACGCGTGCTACTTCCGGCGTGACTGGCGGCGGCCCCGCCCCAAAGACCCCGACGGCCCAAAGGACACGCCGCAAAGGAATTAAAGAGTGACGCTGCGGATATCGACGATGCCGGTCGCGCAAGAAAACGTGGCCGCCGCGCCGTGCCTCGCCACCCCCGCCAGGGAGGCCGGCAGGAGCGCCGCGCCGCGCCCGCCCGCCACGCCCGGAACCACCTGCTCTCCCGCCCTGCCCGGAACGCCCTGTCCCTCGACTCTGTCCGGAACGCCCTGCTCTCCCGCCCTGCCCGGAACGCCCTGCCCCTCGACTCTGTCCGGAACGCCCTGCTCTCCCGCCACGCCCGGAACGCCCTGCCCCTCGACTCTGTCCGGAACGCCCTGCTCTCCCGCCACGCCCGGAACGCCCTGCTCCCCCGCCCTGCCCGGAACGCCCTGCACGCCCGAAACACCATGCACGCCCGGGACGCCGGTCAGCTCCGCCAGCTCCAGCCCGGACTCGCCCCCGTACTGCACTTGCGAGGAGAGGAGACGAAAGGTACTGCTTTGTTGTTTGGATTCGTTTATTTAGACTATTTTGTGCACGCCTGGAGGGTTGAGTTCGAGGGTCTCTGCGTTCTATTTGGCCATAGAGAAAAATTGACAAAGCTAGAGAGCGAATTGAATGCCAATCAACCAGTGTGGGGAGGAAACGTTGAAAAATTGTTGATTGTAAATTTGAACTCTCCGAGTCTTCGTTGCGAGGCAGAGCGGCTTAGTTACTGTCCGAGCCCCCCGCGCAAAGGGAGGGACTCCAAGCGCGGTGGCGCCTCTGTGCCTCCTTCATGGAGCAGGCCCAGTACAGGTAGAGGTAGAGGTAACGGAGGTCTTCGCAGGGGGCCACTGTCCAGCTGTCCAGCTCCAGCCGGCCGACCACCCTGCCTTGCCCGCGGCTGCTCCACCTGTTGCGGCGGCGCGGCGCGTGCGGTCGGCCACCCCTTGACCTCCCCGCCGACCCGCTGTGCTGCCGCGTCCGGCGCGTGTCCGATTGTCCAGGGCTGTCCACGCGGCGGGCGGCCTTGACCACCTCGCGGCGCGCCATCGCGCCGGGTGGACAAGCTGGCCGCGGTCCTGAGCTTACCTGCCACCGGTTCACACGGGGTCGGCCGGCCCATCCGTTGATGGTCGGCGGCCACCCTTCCCTTCCCCTCGGCCATCGTCGGCCAGCGCTTTGTCCGGCTCGCCTTCCGGGTCACCCTTGGGGTCAGGCAGGCCGTGCACCTTACCTCCCCAGTGTTCCCACAGCCACCGGCCGGCAGACGGGCACCGGCCGCGGTGATGACCTGCACGGCCTGGACACCGCGCTCCCTCTCCCCTCCCTCCCCGCCCCGGTGGCGCGGTGGCGCGGCTCGCGCGGTGAGGCTCCCCTACCTGTCCTTTCATTGCCCGATCCACCGCGCTCGAGGGTCATCACGTCGTATGCAAATGCGGAGGGGAGGCGATTGTCTCTCGCGTCATGTTTCTGGACGAGCAGGGAAGGGTTGAAGCTGGCCAGGCGGCTTTCGTTATATCGGCCTCTGGTTCCGTTTGTTCGGCGAGTCGTCTTGGGGGCTTCGGGGGGTTGTTCTGCTTGCGAATGGGGTGGGAAGCCTTCCCGGGACGTATTTGCCTGCACATTGAACTACCGAACTCATTGGAGCTGCCAACCCATCAAACTCGTTTCTAATTGAAAATCGCCATAAATATGATACCATCCTCCCCACCACCTCTGCAAATTCGAACGGTTTATTTCTCGATATCCAAGCAGTCCAAGTCAACGAAAGAGTCGCGTGGCACAGTGTGGAGGGCGGCTCTTTTTTGCCGCGTCCTTTAGGGGTGCAGAGCAGCACCCCACTGCTGACTCTTTTTTTTAATGTTGTGTCCACACTGGCCTGGCCGTGGCTTTAATGATATGTGGGGTGCGCGCGTGCTGCGCGGAGGAATTTTTTTTATTGCGGTGTGGGGGGTAACCGAGGGGGTGATGTTGGTCTCGTGCCGAACATGGAAATTTGTGCTTGTAACATTTTTTTCTGTTGGCATTCCCCTGTTTTTTTTCCTAAAGTTTATCTTTTTAGTTTGTTATGGGGTGGGCTGGGCACTGTTTATGATGAATGAATAGCCTGCTCTTTAGATGGAAATGCTTTTTATTGGCACGAGATATTTTACAAAGATTGTAATCAGAATAATAACAATGAAGTGATCGGCAAATCGGCTGTCAATCGCACAAATAATAAAAAAAACACTGAACCACTCCGTCACTACTGTCAATTTTGGTCTAGTTTCCACTCTGGGTGAAACGATAGCTGTCATAACAACCTGGAAAAATCACTAGACACCTGAAAAAATATAACATTTCTAAGGCGGGCCAATATATAATATTTCATTTCCAGCTGTAGTGTCAAATTTGACAATGTTAAACACGAAGAGCAAAAATTGTCCAATTATTAGACGTACAGCTCAACGTTTAGTTCGATTGAAAAGTTGTTTCCAGTATAGTACAAAAATGGAACACGTCCAAATTAATTATTTTAAGCGGCTTGAGGTCTGAACTAGGCCAAATCATAAATATCATGTTACGAAAGTAGTAAGTCGTTTATTTATTGTTTCTGCAATCTCGCTAAACTTTTACTGGCCCCATTACTTTTTTGAAATCGCTAGCAGCCTCAAAATCGCGCATACGAAGTCTTGATCCACGCACGCACTCAGACACATAAACTCTCACTCTCACAGTCACACAATCATCGCACACCCGCGCTCGCCATCAGATCTCCTTCTAAAACTACAAAATGGCACAACGATAAAGGATTGGTCCTTTTAAAAAAGTTGTCGAGGGACCGAATTTTTAATTGAAAATGCTCACAGTGAACAAGTACTAGTGCTAAAGGTCGGGTGGTGGGGCGAGCCGGACGGGTGCATATGTTACAGCGCCATGAGGATTGGGGGAGGGGAGGGGAGGGGAGGGGAGGGGAGGGGAGGTAGTCGTCGAAATGAATTTGGGTCGAGGAGAGGGAAGGCCCAATGACGGTCGGGGCCGAGTGGCTCCAGGGGAGCAGCCTCCACTGCACTGAGCCCCACGAGGCCGCGCTGGACACAACCACGATCTCTGTGGGGCTTGTGGCAAAATGGGTTATGGCCCGCTCCAGGGCGGGCGGCGGGCAGAGGGGTGACTTTGGAACGTCTGGAGCAGCCCCCTGATGAGCGCGGAGCGGAGCCCCGAGCCCACCAGGTCAGCGCTCAGACGTCCCCGACGACGCCCCTCTAGTCGTCCGGCTCGTTGAGTCGCAGCCGCGCGAAGTCCTCGAACACGATGTTGTCCTCGTCGTCGTCGGCATAGTGCGAGTTCTCGTAGCGAGACCGCTCCTGGCTCTTCCCCTTCTTCAGAGCCTTCTGCTCCCTCGCGTCGCCGGAGCCTGCGGAGCAGCGTGTCGTTAGCACACATTGGCGGAGAAACAACAACCGCAACGCGGAAGCAAAGGGTCGGTACCTGGAGCCGGGTGCAGCAGCTTGAAGGGCACGTCCGTTTGCAGCTCGCCGCCCAGAGTGCCGCAGTTGAGCTTGACGCGCAGCGAGTACGAGATGACGATACCCATGGCCTCGTTGGGCGCCTTGCCCTCGGCGATCAACGTGGAGGATGCCAAGTTCACGTCGTCGTCCTGCAACGCCCGGCCAAACGAGGCTAGAGACACCGCCGCACTTGTACACCATCAGAACCAGCTGTCGGGTTTCTTTCTCACCTTGAGGTAGCCGTCGAGCGCGATGCCGCGCCGGTCCTTGTTGGAGGACGCCAAGGGCACCAGGTAGAAGGTCTTGGTGAAGGACGCCCCGGGCGTGATCGGGCAGCCCTCCCTCGTCTCCAGCGAGGCGACGTGGCGCGAGAACTGCGCGTTCACCATGGTCACCTCGCAGTGCTGCACGCAGTACACCTGCAGCCAATTTCAAATTACCGGTTTCAGTTTCCATTGTGGCGACACTGTATCGGAGTGGGTCAAGGTGGCGCCGTTCCGAAAGAGTAGACTTGGACCTAATTCTCCCCCTCCCCTCTTTCCGGCCACCGCAGTACACAAGCATGGCGGCTAATTCAATTGGTGGGGCCGGCCCCGGGGAGGCCCCGCGCCGAGCCGCCCCCTTCCCCGCGAAGGACAAGACGCCCTTCATTCATAACCTCCCTCGCCCTTTCCCGGTCTTCCCAGTCTTCCCGGCGTTCCTCCACGAGCCTCCTCTCCTTGAATTTTCACCCCATCTATTTGTCCCTTTTGTCGCGATGACGCCCTACCTGAGCGTAACCAACAGAACGCAGCCAGGGCGCGTGGCCATCAAGCGGCAGACGTGACGGCCGCGTGACACGCCGCGTGACGTGTCGCAGTGTCACACACTGTGTCACACAGTGTCACACGACAGGCACGCGAGGCCGCGGCCCGGTCAATAAGGTGTCCGTCTTGAAGGCGGCCCGCTTCGTCGCTTCGCCTCCGCTCACCTTGATGTTGCGCACGGCCTTGCGGGAGTTGTTGTTGACGGTGACGTTGGCGCCGATCTTCTCGCCGTGGTAGTAGATCTCCTTGTCCAGCGTGACCTCCAGGTTGATCTTGCCCTGGGAGAAGGTGAAGCCCTTGGACACGAGCGAGGACGGGAGACGGCGGCCGCGGGACGGCGGCGCGTACTGGAGCTGCGGCGGAGTTGGATTCAAATTAACCCGCGTCCAGTGCGCGACATGCCAACACAAACCGAAAACTACGCCTACCTTCTTGATGGCGAGCGCCACGGAGGAGCGCTTGTGGCCGCGGTCGTCGGCGCCGTCCGCCACAAAGGTCTTGACGACGTACTCCACGCCCAGGGGCTTGCTGGTCTCGTCCTCGCCCGGCTGCAGGGTCACGGAGCAGGGCGACGCGGGCGGGAACTTGAAGGTGAAGGGGTACGCGTTGGGGCCCAGCTTCTTGAGCAGCTTGTCCTGCACGGCGGTCAGGTCCTGCTTGTCCTCGTGGTGCGCGGGTGGCACAATCTGCTCGCGCGCCAGGATGATCTCCTTGCTGAACTTGACGCCCATCACCTCGTCCTCCTCGCGACCATACCTGTACGTCGTCGTCACCTGAAATTAGAACCGTTTGTTAGAGAAAAGTGTCTGCCGACAAAATGCGCGGGTTCGGGTTCGCGTCGCAGCGTCGCCTTGCCTGTCCGTATATCTTGCGGCCTTTGAGGTAGTCGTTGTCCACCACGATGATGCCATCGATGGGGTCCACATGATCGAGGTGGTCGATGAAGTCTCGCTTCCCGAGGTACACCGTGATTTTCCCTGCAATCGCCACAGAGGCCCGTTAAAACCATCGAACAACATTCGACACGCTTCATCTCGCCTTCGAGCGGCTGGGCCAGGGAGTTAGTTGGGTGGCCTATGTCCCAGGCACCGGTCACCGCAGTTTTCATTCGTCCTGCTAAGTCACTTGGTGGTAAATAAACAAGTTTCACTGGGAGCTTGGTGTGCAGAGGTGGTGCTCCAAAAGCCGGCCTGGCAGAGTCTCACCATTAGGGGTCGTCTTCTTGAACACTTTGACGGCCACCACGAGGGCCAGCAGGAAGACGGGGATCATGTTGGGCCGCTGGGTGGGCTCTGCCGCAGCCCGACGCACAGGACACCAACTACGCGGTAGAATCTCTCTTCACAGTGGCCGGCTCCGGCCTCGGTTGCCCTGGAGAGCTAGCTGTGCCCGTTTCAAAACTTCAAGTCCGAGTGATTTGAACGAGTGACGGTGGCCGACTGCCGACCGCGCGCCGCTGGGGGTGCTGGGGGTTGTGGCGACCGCGACACACTTCGGCGCGGACTTCACCCCCTGCAGAGACAGCCCGCAGGCCACCACCCCCCGCCGGCTTAAGTATCGCCCTTGAGAGGTTTCCCGACACGACACAACCTCATAGGCACGGCCTGCCCCAGGCCGGGCCGGGCGGGCTGGGCTGGGCTGGGCCACCGCAGGGCCAGGCCAGGCAGCCACAGCCAGGCAGGCTGCAGGCCAACCGGTAACAGGATCAGGGGCCGGCCCGCAACAGGGAGATGTTGCTCGGCGACGCCCCCCAGGCCCCCGGGCCCCGATGAGTGCGGTGTTGGTGACGAGGTGACGAGCAGGATGGCGCAGTTTCTGCTTAGTTTCGAACTTGTTCCAGTGAACCGTTTAGTCGGTTCGGAATCGTTAAAATTAGGGTGCCCCACCAAGTGCATATGGTCATTCCCCCTCACTCAAATGCGAGGCGCGGATGTTCCCAGCACCACAATAGGGATGCGCTGGCCTCAAAACCATGTCCCTCTTCTAAGTGACATGTCTCTTGGCCTGGAAGCCATCGTCTCCGAGAGTCAAAATATCAAAATTTAATCTTGCCGCCAGTCTCTTTGGGATTCGAGATATCGAACCAACCCCCTATCGAAGTCGAATGAATGACAGCAGTGATGTCTGCTCGGTCTGCACACTGTTTACCATTGTCCATTGTGGTCATTCGATGCGAATAAATCAGAATGAAACTTAACGCCATGAATGACAAGTCGTGCTATTGATGAAAATGGGGAGTTTCACCATCTCTTCACGATAAAAACGGTTTTTATAAACCGTTATTTTATTGTGCAAACCGTTCTCGCCAAAAAGGTTAGACCAGTGGTTGGTGAATTTTTTAGCTATTTCTGCACCGCTACTCTTTCGCACCTCACTTTGAGATTGAATGAATACAACATTGATTTGTTTAAAGATTGTGATTTTTCTCTTGCTGCAAGTTCTTTCATCAAAAGCAGTTGTGCCCCACAAACCTCTTTTTGTTTGTCTTTTCAGGTTTCACTGGTTCTTTCAAAGTGCTCCATTAAGGTTTAAATTTGTATTTCAATTTATTGTTTCAGGCTAAGATGGCAACATTTTTTACACCAGAAAGACATGGTTATGCTGTTCGGTTTTCACCTTTCTACAAAGATCGCATCGCAGTCGCAACGTCACAACAATTTGGTCTGGCAGGTAGGCTCTCTTCTTATCACATTCTTTGAGTTTTTACAGGTCTTTTTGGTAGATATTTTGAAACTGAAAGTATCTTTTTGCAGGCGGTGGCACACTGTTTGTTTTAGAAAGAACTCCAGTCGGAACTCTGGAAAATGTGGCTGTATTTGACTGGTCTGATGGTTTATTTGATGTTGCGTGGAGTGAAGGGAATTCTGATATAGCTGTAAGTGGAAGTGGAGATGGATATTTGCAGGTGTGGAACCTTCACCATCCTGGGGTAAGTTGACTAGCCAGTACTGATTCAACAAATGTTTCATTCAACAAATTATTCATTTATTTCATTGACTCTTTTTCTCCTTCATTTTTAGATGCCAATAAAGACATTCCATGAACATACAAAAGAAGTTTACTCTGTCAACTGGAATTTTCACAATCACCAAAGAATTTTATCTGCTTCTTGGGACTGTACAGTCAAAACGGTAATAATCACATTCAACTCACATTTATCCTCTTGAAGAAGTTTCATGATCCTATTTTCATGCTTGTTTTTTTTTTCAAACTTCTTTTTTGTTGGTTTTTTAGTGGGATTTAGGCTACTCAATGTCTACAAGGACTTATGAGGGTCACACCCAATTGGTTTATGATGCTGTTTGGTCCCCAGGCCTCCCTTCTACCTTTGCATCTGTAGCTGGTAAGTCTTCAAATCTAATTTTTAAAAAATTCTTTCTTAGATTACATAAAGTAAGCATGGGTTGAATCGTTTGGAATGTTTCTGTTTAGGTGACGGTATGCTTCAAATATGGGCAGAAGAAACCTCGAATGCCCCAAGGTTGTCAGTTAAGGCTCATGATGCTGAGGTGTTATCTTGTGATTGGTGTAAATATGACCAAAATATTCTTGCCACTGGAGCTTCAGATGGACTTATTCGAGGCTGGGACATCCGCAGACTGACAGCTCCTGTATTTGAGCTTCGGGTAAGTTACCCAGTAAATAAATAAAATTGAGTTCTGAATGTAGCACAGAATTGTTCTGTAAGTTATTTAATATTTTCTTTGCTTTTTTTCTCCTCTTTTATTTGGCAGGGTTGTGAATATGCTGTACGCCGCATTAAGTTCTCTCCCTACCATGCTTCCATCATAGCATCTGCTTCATATGACTTCACTACAAGGTTAATTACTTTTCTTGCCAATTATAAGATGAGTTTATGTTCGAGCATCTTAATGTTATCTTTCTTTTTCTTTTCAGGGTGTGGGACTACAAGACATCTCCAGAGGCAGTAGAGACAGTGAAGCACCACTCTGAATTCGTGTATGGACTGGACTTCAATAATCATGTACCTGGTGAACTTGCAGACTGTGGCTGGGATTCTCTTGTTCACATCTTTTCCCCAGCTTCTTTGTCCTCTGTGCCAATTTCCGAACCTAGATAAGGAATTATTTATGTATCATTTTATTAATTATTACCAAAACTATAAAATTTTCTCTTAATTTTATGAGTCACAAGGCAGTGTGTAATTTAAGTAAGATTGTTCTATAAGTCTTCTTGACTGAGCCTTTTCTGTAACAAGGTACTGCATTCCTTTTTCTGTTTGTTGTTATCTATTTTTTAACTGTGTGGTTTTATTAAAAGTGCTTTTGTTTTTAAAGTTGGCAATCAAATAGTATACGGCTGTTGAGTTCCTACTTGGATTTTCCCCTTAACTAAGGATCACTAAGATCCAAGATCATTGAGTTGATATGGTATATGACTTACAAGGCCAAGGAGAATGTACAAATACAAACTGCTGCATAGTAACAAAATTTATTCAGGAAAAATGAGGAAGAGACAATAAAACTAAACATTTGTTTACAAATCAGGTAATGAATTTGAATCTGCCTCAAATACTCTTTGAAGCAAGACACGTGAAGTATAAATGTTACTAAAACACTAAATTTGAGTTAAAAATATTTTCAATCAGTAATGAATGACAATATATGAGTTCCTGACTATAAAGTAGAAACTAAGCAACAATATGAAAATATAGTTTAACAGACTAAGAAAAAAAAAATGAGCATTTCTGTCCACACTATAAGCCAGGGTCTTGGTCCATCACAAAGGTCAACATATAACAAAGAGAAACAAAACATAACAATGTGCAATCAAGCAGCAACAACCTACTTGGAGAACAGCCAATGTAGGTTTCCTTTTTATAGTAAATGAGTCCTAAAGATTAATAAATTCATATGCGAGAGACACAGCTCACACAAACACATACACATATACAAAACACGCAGCTACAAAAAAAGGTACAAAGTTTGAAGTTTTCTACTAAGACATGTCACAATCTTCTTAGATATAATAATAAGGGAGGGGAAAGGGGAAAGAGTCCAGAATGATGAACAACTTGACAGTTGAATTATCACAGTCAAACAACATGAACATAATAATAGGCCACTTGATTAACTGTGTTCAATGCAAATATTTTGGGAGATGCAGCACCATTTGCTCATAGCCAAAGAGGATACAGCAGATAGGGACAAGCAGAACAAGCCTGCTTACCTTCCTCACAAGCTATGAAATAAAACAAAAGGGACAGGTCTACAATCATCAAACATAAATTTAAAAGCTTGACTAGGATTAAAGCTTGAATGTCTGTTTAAACTATGTATGGACTTCAATTAAAACAAAATTGTGACATAATAGCAAACACAAACCCTACACAAAAGAGGATTGTCTAAGTTCTCAGCTGGCCAAGTAATGCCCAATGGACAGGGACCTCTCTGAATTCATAAAATACACAAATAAAAGGAAGGTAATTCATACCAGAAGTTGTTCACAAGTCATAGTTACAGTTGAAAAGGGTCAGGATTAGGGTCAAAAATTTAAAAGAGAGTATAATTACCCTTCATGTGATAGACTAACTCAAAATGAGTAGTCAAAATGAATAGGACAAGCGAATCATGATTTTACACTTATGCCCTAGCTGAAGAAGGGTATGATTGGCAAGATCTGGCTTCAATGAATTTTTCATTCCAAGACAATAAACTGTACAAAAGATGGAGTATGATGAATAATGAATGACGAAGGTCACAACTCAAAAGCTTTTTCCATTTAAAGGAGCACAGCATGAAAGCAGATGCGTCCATAAGCAACAAATCCTGACCAAGCAAATCTTTCTGAACCATACTTGTTTAATGTACACTATGAACACAAAACTTTAACCAAAACAAAATAACCTTAAAAAATAAATAATTAAACAATGTTAGTGACATGATTTACTTACTAAATTTTGAAAATTATTATTTCACCAACAATTCATTGGGTGTCAATGCAGATTATATCACATAGTTGGAAAACAGAAAGTATATGGCCAATGACTGAGGGTAGGGGAGAGAAAGGGCTTTGGCAAAATTCTATTGACACAGGGGACACTCAGGTTGTACGTAACAAGGCACTACCAAACACTGAACTCACTGTTACAGGAGCCAAACCATGCTTCTGGTAACAACAAGAACACCATATGAGCCATCACTGTATTAAGTTGAATCATAAGCGCACCTAATTACATTGACTACATACACAAGATAAAAGTCAGCTTACATTCAATACAAATAATACAGTTCATAGAGTACACATAAACAAACAATTTTGTAACAGCCTTCACACAGAACCTAGTTTCACCAATCGCAAACTGTATACTACACATTCACAATGAGACAGAAGTGTTGCTAAAAATTATCCAAAGGTAGTAATAACTTGGACAAATTTAAGGCAACATTTGTAAAACACCATTAAGGACCAGGGGAGTTTGTCAAGAACTGTGGCACTACATGGCACAGAACAGAAAATATATAACCCTGACATTAGGCCAGAACTTTCAATTTTTTTTAAAAAAAAAGCATGTGTGACACAAGATTCTTTTCGTATTCCTATTTGCCATGATAAAAATAAAATGAGAATAGTAAATGTTCTGAAATCAAAATAAAGTTACATAATAGTTGTACCACTAACATGTTTTAGAAAATCAGCATTGGTTCAGGAGGATGTGGATCGATTTAAAATCAGTCTCATTATCAGCTTGAAAAAGCTTAGAATAAATTATAAAGACAAATTAGAAGCTGAAGAATGTAGAAAATGAAGGAGCTTAGAATTAGATTATCTGTTCTCAGCTCATAAAATATTTAGCAAAAGGACATAAATCAACACAAAACAAGATACTTCTACTGTGCAAGTTAATTAATAATTTACATCAAAAATCACAAGAATTAAAGTCTTCTATTCCAGTCATATCAAGACAAAGCTCTAATTTAGATGCAACATTACATTTGTTGTAATGTGAGACTGTACAAGGTGGTACAGTTTTACAGACACCTAAATACACTACAATCTGCTCAGATAGTTAATGGTAGAAGTACAGAAAGAAGAGCAGATAGACAAAATATTATAAAACAAATTGTACAATCATGTTCCATGATATGGGCAATATGAATTAATTTTTTTGACATTGCCTCTATGCAGAAAAACAAAAGCAATGGGAAAGCTTCAAATATAGGGACACACAAAACAAAGGTTCTTTGGAAGATTTTTGTAGCTTCTTCCACGAAGACTTGTGTCCTTTCCCAAGGCCTAACTTCATAGAGAGCAGAGAATGAGAAATATTCTCTTTTGTGATGGTTGACTTTTCACAATAAACTGAACACATAAACCTAATTGTTCACTCATTCAGTTTTGTCTGTGGCCAATGGGAAACGAACTATCCTAAGTTGGTTAGCATAGTCACACACTACACTATCACGCAGCTGTAGAAGCTGCTTCACAAACACACACGAGTCTGAGTGACCGAGCCGGACGACACGCACTGGGTCACCTGCTCTTACATCCCACACTATCAGAGATCCCTGCAACATGACAAATTAATAGATGAGTCACCAAAACTAAAAAATGTAAATTAAGTTTACTAATGAGGAGGAGGCCTACCTGTTTACTGGTGACAAGGAGGCTGTGAGTAAGCATTGCAATACTTGAGCAATATGCCTGGGTCTGTAAAACAAAGGACAACATAAATTTATTGCTATTAATGTCAAACCAAGAAAATAAAAGGGTGAAAAATACAGAAAAGCACACTAAAAAGAAAGAAAAAGAATTCCCAAAGCAGACAGTTGAGAAGACAATAACAATTCACTTCAAAACACAATACAGAATTCCCAGCTGCTGACACCACACTAACACAAACCAAAAAACCATTGTGAAGTATTTACTTTTATAAAAATTGAACTGACTTTGCCAATAAGTGGTTGACCCACCATCTGGATCGTGTTGAGCAGATGACCTTGGAAGCGTTCCCAGACACAGAGGCGATCATCTGCGCCCAAACTGATCACATAACTGGCTGAATATGTCAATGACAAAACAGCACCATCATGGGCTTGAATACTATACATACAGGCACCTTAAATTGGAAAAGAGAAGAGAAAAAAAGACATAATATTACAAGGATTGTACAATTATTCAGAGAAATATTTAAATCACAACCATATAATTATATCAAACCTGTAAGCAGATCCCAGACACACAGAAGGCCATCCTGGCTACCAGAACCTGCTGTCATTGGACTAATACAATCTATAAACAGGCACGTTATAGGTCCACAATGACCATGTAGAGTATAGAGTGGCAGGTGATCTTCAAGTCGGAAAACCTATAATAAATGTAATGAGGTTGTCAGTCTCACTTATTAAAATTATGTATATTTTACTACAAAACTGGGAATACTGACCTTCAGTGTGTGATCTTGACTTCCAGTGAGCACTCTTCCTCCTTCAGTCTGTAGGACTGTTATTGGTTGCTGGTGAGCTCGAGTGGAATGCAATCGCACACATCGAATGTCTTCTTCTTCGCCTCTCGACACCATTGCGTCCCAATCTAGGGAACCAGTACTGCCTGACCGAACATGAGCTATACACACAACAAGAAAACAAATATGTATGAGTCCTTGAATCAAAAGTCATAAAGAACAAAGAGCAAAAAAAAAAAAAAAAAGGTAATGCAAACAGAATTTAAAATAAACAAAGTAAACAAAAACACACTTACTACGGCGATATGCAGTAAAGCCCCAGTCAATGGGCCTTCCTCTACTGTAGCTCTCCAAAACTAAGAAGTCCAGAAAACCAGACAAGCGAGCAGCAACAACTCTGTTCCCAACCAATTTTACAGCTGTCACTCCACTTGAGTTGGGGTTTTCATAGAGACACTGCAACACAATGACCACTTAGCATTCAGGCACTTCAAGTTAAAATACAGTAACAGGAACTAAGCATGAGTGCTTATGTCAGACCTTGAATCTTCCTGAAGCACCTTCCCAAAATTCAAGCCTTCCATCTGCACAACCCAAAACAACAATGTTTTCTCTGCAATCAATACACCAGATGGGAGGCACTGCCACAGGAATGGGGTCTTCAACAGATGATCTTCTAATAGGAAACTCATCAACACTTAGTCGGGGTGAAAGGAATGAGTTTGGAGTTGCAGAAGATGAATTGACACTTCCACAACTGCAATCCCCAGACACATCTTCACTGTCTAAAGAGGAACCACTAAGATCACAAGAGAGTCTGTGCATCTGAAATAGTTCTCTGTATTTGCTGCCAAAATCATATCCTGATTTACTGTCATCAGGGGAAGGTGAGTGAGGAGAGCTTGCAAGTGATGCAAAATTTGTGTTGATGGATGATCGAAGATCTGGGAAAGACAAGTCTCCAGATTTTCTTCCTGTCAAACCATTTGCCTTTCCTGATCTGAATCTAAAACCACAGTAAAGAAATCAAGAGTGATTGATAGTTCCAACTCAAGTAACAATATATCCATCTCAAGCTAACTTTTGAACGTACCTGTTATAGCACTGATGCGTTGGATTTTCAGATTCCTTGGGATGGAAGAAAGGGGACCCTGTTTCAAAGCTAGGAGTAAACGATTCTTCTAGATCCTTGTTTTGGGAAGCTCTCAATGCAAAGAATCTGAAAGAGGACCAAGCAATGTAGAGATGATCAAAAGAGAGCATAAATACTTCATGCTCAGACAAACAACAATCAAACCTTTTGCGGTTTACAGTTGCTAAGGTCTCTCCACTAATGGCATCCCAAGCTATAAGTTGTCCAGCTAAGCACGTACTGGCGACTATGCTACCATCTGAAGCAATGCACTCCACTTCCTGAGGATGTCCTTCCAAAACAAGAGGAATGGCTTCAAGCACAACCTACAAAAGACAAGAGTTGACATGAGAAACACATACACACTCCACCGGAGAAAAGATTAGCGAAGAGACTTTAACTCACCTCAGTACTTGAATCAGTTACAATGCTTTCTGGGTCAGGAACCCAAGCAGATCTCCACTCAGCATAATTTCTTGTGCAAACGCACCGATAAAGAAGAACCATGAAGTATGCTAAGACAACCACACTAACCACACAAAGTAAGGACAAAAAGAATAACTCCATAGGAGAGGATGGCAGCAATGGTAGTTCAGTCACTTTGCGGCCACGTGTGGTGTCTAGAGAGCTGCCTTGTGATCTCTGATCTCCATCTGTGTGGGTACAAGAGAAGGATTAGAAGAGCAATCAATTAAAAAGGTGACACTTTCTCAAAGTAAGAACTCATTCTACCAGAAAAGTCAAGGGGATCCAGGGCAGCAGCCAAGGTCTGCCAATGAAAGTGTTGGGCAGCACGTTCATTTGGATTCCGCAAATGAAGAGCATTTTGAGGGGCAATCACATGTGAAAGTCGTATAGCAGGTAAGACAGACAGGTATCGTCCACTGATGGAAATATTGTACAGAGACAGAATGGTAGACCAATGGTAAGGCGACAGGCGATCCCATGGGTCATATCGATTTGGCCTAAGTCTTGCTATATCCTCCTGCAAAATCCAAGCAAATAATCAATGAAAGCAAGTAAGGAAGAAAGAAAAAAGTAGATGTGAACAAAGGACTTAAATTGTAAATGTCGGAAAGCAAATTTACCTCTGCATGACCATATGACACATTGTGGTGGTCAAGGACAGGAGCGCTGGTAGCAAGGAAGTGTTGTGAAGTTTGTTCAAACTGCCAACCTGAAGAACCAGCAGCCTTTTCCCACTCTCGTTCCTTAAAAAAAATGAAGTTAACGTTCAAAAATTAGCAGATACTAGTTATGAAAAGTAGGTACCAATTATGAAAATATTGATATGGGTAACTTACAGCAGTATCCATTAGGAAAAAGTTCTCAATGGCATCAGAGCTGTAAGCTATGAACACAATCCATGAGATCATAAAGACCATGAGGCTGCGTTGAACAATTCGAGTGCGGGCCCAAAAGTGCACAATACGAATTCGCCTTGGAATCTTTTCTAGGACCTTTCCTGCATAATGAACAGGTGCAACTACTATGGTTGGAAACCTATGATAAAAAAGAAAAGAAAAAGACATTGTGTTGACACAGAGGATTAAAGAGAATAAATTTCAATTTTATGGAGTGAGAGACACACCGATCTGTTGATTGAGAGACAAGTCCATTTAACCGTGGATGTGATTTTGATCTTAAGATTGATCCAGCAGGCATCCCTTGAGAAGAGGTTTGCATAGCATTGTGGCAGTACTTTCCAGTATCAACTGGATTGCTGAATATGCTCAATGTAGATACATAGAATGTCATTTGCATGAAGTAGTCAGACAGAAGACCAACAACAGCAAATATACAGAAGCGTTGAATTGCTGGCACAAATGTAAACAGGCCAACAGTCAAAATAGTAACCTGAAATTATTTTAAAAGAAACAATTTTAAAAAATATTTATTATTAGTACTTAATAAGTTAGAAACAATTAATGCTTATGTTTATCACCTACCTCAGTCATTAAGTTATATGTGATACTCCAACCTTCTTTGCTCAAACCCTGAGCTATTCGGATTTTGACATCTAAATCTCTTGGAGTGTGATACACTGCTTTGGAAAGGACAAATACATTCTCCACACCTACGACCATTGCCAGATATGGGTACAACTCACGCCAACTAAAAGTTAGCATATGCCCAAAAAAGCAACAGAGACCAGTTGACATGGCCAGAGACGCGATCAAGGTCAATACAGCAAACAGAGACATTCCACACTAGAAATAAAAAAAACAAAGATGCATTAGAAAGAACCTACAAAAAATATCTTCTAAAGGAATGTCCAAAAGTTACCTTGGCTTTCACAGCTTCAACTTTACGCAAAGAAAAGTAGATGTACAGAAAGAATGACAAATACAAAGAAACTAATGGAATAAGCTGCCTCCAATGGAAGTCCCCCGGGTAGAAGACATGCAACTCTGGACCATTTTCACTTTCCACAATGCTGTCTTGATGCAAGGGGTACAATGAGGATAGGCGCTTTCTCAGCCCATCAATGTACCTACAAAAAAAAAGAAGGTGTTATTGAGACGACACGTCACAACTTTTAAAACACACCATTTGATGGTAATATTCTGGAATTCTCACGCTTCATCATTCTCTTCAAGCATTAGTGTAACAGCATACTGAAGAGTTCTTTGTCTTGTACGAAGTGGATAGCGCTTAACTCCTGTGTCCTTCATCCTGAGCCCAAAAGATATTTCTGCAAGACTGATTTTGCTTCTCTGAAGACTCTGCAGAAAAAACACAAGTGGAATTTTATTAATGTTAAAAACAGAAAAGTAGAACACAAAATTTCATATTACGTACAACATAATTAAAAATTGTGCTGAGTAGACTTGCGTCTTGTTGAAATTCTTGGAAATCTTGATGCCATAAATTAGCAGGAGAAAGGACAAGGCAACTGTATTCAGGAAGAATGTGTTTGCGGTCCGATGTGTATCGGGACTTAACTGCTTCCACGTGAAGACATACATGGCTCAGAGAGCGGGATCTACAGAGAAATAATTAAGAGCGATAAATTGTGTTAATTAATTGATAGAACACTCATAATAACTTCAAAAGTATGGTGAACAATCAGCAGTTATACCTGTTCTCTAGCTCATAATTTCTTATATTTTCTAACAATTTGAAAACTTCAGAGAGGGGTCCTCGAAATGCATCAGTCAAAACTAAATTATCATTCCACGGAGAGACAGCAGTCTTAAGTATCACCTGCAAGAGAAACGAGGAAAATAAGTTTTAACCACTGCTTCATTCTCTAGTGGGTAGGTCAGTTTATACACAATGCCAATGGATGGATGACTTACCTGTTGCACATAGCATACAGGGGAACCACTGAACCAAACAGGAGCACCGTCAGTTCGGCTCTCATTTGAGGAAAATGAGGCATAATGCTGAGGTACGTTTCCGGGCAATGGGAGGTTTAGGAGAGGATAGCTGAAAAAGCATCAAAACCGCATTTGTAGCAAAACAGATCGATAAATTTGTGATATAAAAAAAGAAAATTCTGCTGTATGACAATTGACATTTGAACACAATGCACTCAAATCACACTCACCAACAGACCATCACCACAGAACTGGCAAACAAGAGGAAAGCCACTGGGTGGCTGGCGCAGAAAAGTCCATATGCATAATGAAGTTGCCCTACTCTTTCTGGGAGGCTCTTCGAGGCTGGCCCATCCCTCACACGTGCCGGTGCCATTCCCTAGGAGCTTATATTTAACCTGCCTCCATGTTAAATCTGTGTAACACACGACAAGATAAATAGAGGATAGAGGCGTGCTGGTCGGCGAGAACATTTTAGCAAACGCGAATGATGCAATTACAAGTAATGTGATCTAACGGTAAACAAATTAGAATGTCAAAATTGCTGTCAACAGAATCCATCTATTGTGCAAAATTATTGGAATATTTTATAATTTTGTGAAGATTTAGAAATAGGTGAACATAACGACAAACTTAAAAGGTTATATACAACAGACCACATCCTTGAAAGACGTGTAAAGCAACAATCCAAGAAAAATCCGACAGACTAGAAATTTTAGAAAGTTATCTGCCGCTATCTGATCCCGTGGAGCAAAAAGGACAATTAGCAGGACCAATATATATATCAATAACACGCGAGTGACGCTGAGGTTATAGATGCCCCAACATGCAATCATTGACAGTTGCAGCGCATGACAGCTCAAATTACAGTGTACGGGAAAGTAGCGTGCACTTCAGTAACTTGTGATTCGCGTGCAGTACCCGTTTTAGACTTTGAACGGAATCATCATTTGGTGGTGTGAATACATGGAACTGGCCTACGTAGCAGCGAATTATCTCTCTCAACGCCGTTCGCTCTACATGTCACACTGACCTACAGCACGGACAGTGGCGCTTGCAACAAACTGCGACACGCGTCCATTCAATTGCCGCGTCCAAATCGTACCGTTAATTAAAAAATATCTCTGTTTGGGCAGTTGCGTTCTATCATTAACGAAGCACACACTCGAGAAATCATAGTTGATGCAATCCGGCGTTTGTTTTTATGAAAAATCGCTGCGGCCCGAGAGCGTCTTTTGTTTCTCTCCGCGCCTCGCTTTGCGCGCGCTTTTGAAGCGGGTCGCGGAAGCGCGCGGCGGATTCGCGCGTTTAAGCACACCGACGCGTGGAGCGTGGTGCGAGGAGTGTGGTGCCCAGCCCGACGGTAAGCGGTTCCAACCATCAGAACTGCCGTGGAGCCACCTCTCATCAGGGCGGCGGGCGACGGATTCAAAACTCTGTGGACGTGTTTTACGTAACCGCCCCGTTCGCACAAATAAATTCCACGAGGCCACCCGGGCCGCCACAGTGGCCGAGGCGATGTTATCGCCCCTGAGTCATCTAGCCGCGTGGTGAATTACGACGAATTTTCGACGCAAGCAAGACCTGGCAGAGCACTGTACGACCCGAAACGTGACGTCAATGTGCCCTAGCGCCAAGTGTCTTGTCGCGATCGGTGAACCGGCACAGTTATTCCTTGACCGGTCGCTTCGATTCGACAGAACTCGCGGGTCAGGGTCAGGCTCGGCGTCACTCTTCGGGAGGCGAGTCCTGCGCGCGGTGATGAGATGATCCTCGTCCTGGGGCCGGCCACTATCCGCCACTATCGCAGAGCTTCGCTGGCGGTCAAAGAGCCGGCGCGGCGCGGGGCGGCGCGGGGCAGACCCAGGGCAACGATCTCCGAGGCTGCTGCAGCCTAGCGGGCCCCGCCCCGCGGCTGCAGCCCGCCGCCACGCTTTCTCGGCCCATTTCCCTGGCTAGCTGGCTTGTGTGTCAGAATCAGAAGCAACGAACCAGTGCCGAGTGCGTTCTCGGTTGCCCGCGTCCAGTCCGACGACGCCGACGACGACGCCGTGCCTTGGGTGCCCCCTGTCCCGACTGCTGCGCCGCCGCGCCATCGACACGAATCCGGTCTAGGAGACCGACGCGGACCCCCCGGACACGGCGGCACGGCGTGCGACTCCCACCGCGGCGTTTCCGCACGCGAACGCGTTTCCGCACGCAAGTTCCCGCGAAAAGTTTAGCGCCCACGTACGTAATCGGCGCGGAGCGCAACTCGAATCCGGACCGGACCTGGCTTTGGGTTCTTAGTCGCGTGGCGACGTCGGCCGGCCGGTCTACCCTGGTGCCGGAGACGGTGCACTCGCCGCAGGAAAGGCAAGGCCTATCTGAGGAGCTCCGCGAACTAAGGCCGACCTGAAAACAGCCTTCCACCAAAAAATTATTTTGGAATAAAAATCTCAACTTTGGCAAAAATGTTTGTTTAGGTCGGCCCGTGGTGGCTTTCCCCAGATCGGCCTTGGTTGACGGTAGCACCTCAGACAGGCCTCGCCTTTTCTGCAGGGATCCACGCCCGGCCTGACGGCCTGGCTGGTCTGGCACGCTGATTGCTCCGAAACACCGTCGATTGCTGCGTGGGACAGCCCGGGCGTGCTATCCCGCGGGCCAGCGCACAGCGCACCTCGTTTCCACGCCATTGGGGCCGAAATGTGTTGACTCGGCGCGCTGTGCTGGGGGCTGCGGGGCCACCACCTCCAGGGCGACCACCTCCAGGGCGACCACTTCCAGGGCCACCACCTCCAGGGCTACCACCTCCAGGGCGACCACCTCCAGGACGACCACCTCCAGGGCGACCACCTCCAGGACGACCACTTCCAGGGCGACCACCTCCAGGGCGACCACTTCCAGGGCCACCACCTCCAGGGCTACCACCTCCAGGGCCGGGGCGAAGAGGAATGGCGCTATGGCTGTTGCTGCAGGCCCTGGTGGCCGTGGTCTCGGGGTCGGCGCTAACCAGAGATATTGATCCTTCAGGTAAGAAAACCGCGCGAACCTATCACGAGCCGTCAGTCTATCAAGGCGGCCGCGACGCACCTTGCCGCTTGCAGCGTGAGAAGAGTCCCAGGCCGTCAGCCCGCGACTCCAGGACGCCCTGACGGACGGCTGCACGGGGCGGGTCGCATAACTCGTCCTGCCGCCTGGTTCCGTAGGGTCGTCCCGTCACTCCGTCTCTCTCGCACCCCCACCGAGACGCCCCGTGAGTGCGACAGGGACAGCGACGAAAGCGATGTTCGGAATCAGGCGGCTGCCGCCGACGTGCTGAATAAAATGAACACCGCCAGCCGGTGCGTCATTTGCACACGTCACGGACTGGCTTCGTCGGCGAGGGTTGTCGATGACGTGGCCGCTTCGTCTCCGCCATGCCGATCCTCGACGTTTTTTTGTCGTTTGGCGCGTTTGTCGTTTGACGGGCACCCGCTTTGCCTTGGCTTTGCCCGCAGCGCCGTGCCCGGCCAGCAACCTGGTCTGCGACGGCGGCCGCTGCGTGGACTACACCTACCAGTGCGACGGCGACCTGGACTGCGTGGACGGCGCGGACGAGCTGCACTGCCCAGGTGAGGGCAGAGCGGGGCAGAGCGAGGAGGGAAGACCAAGCGAGGACGAGGCGGCAAGCATCTTTATTCATGTAGAAAGTTCGATCCGGGGAGAGGCGCGCCACGCGGCGCTCGGCGAGGCGAAGGGGTTTGCAGGGTTTCCACGCCCCGGTTGTCAGCGCCAGCAGACTGATTCCGCACGGCGTTTCGTCGCTCTGTCTCTCTCGCACCGATACGACTGCCCCATGAGTGCGAGAGAGACAGAGCGACGATGCGCCGCACCGCTCGGCTGCTCTACTTCCTCGCGGGCTCCGTTGTTCTGTTTGCTGTCAGTGCCGTGCGCCGTGCATCGTGGGACGATGATAAGTGAAGTAATACGCGTGTCTGTTGTGTTCTGTTGTCTGTTTGGGTGCCGGGCACTGCCGGGCCGGCCGGACCAGAGCGCTGCGCCGTCGGCTACTTCCGCTGCGACCGGACACGCTGCGTCGAGGAGGCCTTCCGCTGCGACGGCGACGTGGACTGCTCGGACGGCGCGGACGAGCGGGGCTGCTCGGGTATGAGCAGTATGAGCTTACCTCCACCGTACCTCCACCGCCCGCCTTATCCTGCAGCCCGCTGATTCCGAAGAACCCCATCTCTCTCACTCCCACGGAATCGGCCTGCAGGGTTTACGGCAACGGCAGTGTGGATTTGCGCGACGTGCAATAATTTGTCATCCTGGCCGAGGGCCGAGTGGAGTGCCGATGCGGCTGTGTATCCATCCCCGCAGCCGGTGGGGCTGACGGGGAGCGAGGGGGTGGGTGTGCGGGGCGGGTTGGGGTGGGTTGGGGCGGCCCGAACCCTAACCTCGTGCTGCCGGGGCGCGGCGCGCAGCAGGGCGGGGTGCGGCCGGTTGGGGCCAAAGTACGAGCGGGCGGGGTGCTGTCCAACACAGGAGCTTGACTGACAATAGGAACGCCTTTTGTAGTTCACCAAAGTTTTGATTAGCGGGCCAGAGCAGCAGGGGCGGCAGCGTGCGGTCGGAAAAGGGGAAGGGGGCAGCCCGGCGAAGGCGAAGCGGCGAAGCAAGCCCCGAACCAGCTCAAAGGAGGGGCTGGGGAGCGCCGCCCTCGCAAGCCTGCCAACTAGCTTCGAGGGCCTGGCTCCCGGTCAATCTGCCCGCTTTCCTCTTTTTCTCGCGAGCTCGCCGAAACGGCCCAAAGTGAGGGAAGCGCCCTTCGTTACCGACGATCTTTCCACCCGGCAGCGCGGCAGCGCCGGGCCCTCGGCCAGGCTTGGCCGGGCAGCGCATCGGGTTCATTTCGCGCCAAAATGTCGCCGGGATTCAATTTTGCCGCTCGGGCGGTCCGACGACGCCGAGGCGGCGGCCAGCAAAGGTAATAGCGCGCAGCGCAAGCAGACTCCCTTCGCCGCCGTCGCGCTGTCTCCCTCGCACTCACGGGGCGTCCCGCTCGGGTTGTTCAGGTGCAAGAGAGACGGAGAGACGGAACGCTGTGCGCCCCCGGGAGCCTAATAACGTGTTTGGAAGCTGTTACGCGGCCATTACGCCCGGGCCGGCCCGGTTGGCCCACTGGAGGCTCGCTCCAGTGTACACACTCTGGTAGTACTCGGAGTCGCGGAGGAGCGCGCGGCTGTTATTCGATTATCTCGCGATAGAGGGGGGGGGCGGTGTCCCGGTGCCGTAGTCACATGCGTGACGGCCTGACGACGTCGGGATCAAAGAAGTAAACACAGTGGCGGTAATGTGTGTCGCGGACAGTGTCGGGCCGTCTCGGACACCCAGGCTATCGCGCGGCCGCGGCGGAGAAATAAAACTAAATCCGAGGGAGAGAAAAAGATTGAGATAAGGCAGCGGAAAAGCCGAAAAGGGGGCACGTGCGCGCGGGGCGCGGGGCGAGCCTGGGCGGGCCTGGATGACACGGAGAGTTTGGGAGCCCGGACGGAACCGGGTCATAATATTCCGCATGAAAGCGGGCCTGGCCTGGGCCTGGCCTGGCTTGGCCTGCCCGGTGACTGACCGTCGCGATGCTTATCGCCGTCGTCGTCGTCAACCCCGCGCGGCGCTGCGCGGCGCCCCGCCCGCCGCGGACACTGTGAAAAATACTCCCGCATCCGTCATCATTTCGGCGACGGGCGCGCTGCCGCCACTCTGAATAACTCGGTTCCGTTCCGTTCCGCGTTTCGTTTCGCCTTTCCAGCGTGCAACGACGGCGGCTTCCACTGCGACGCCTCGCGCTGCATCGACAGCGACCGCCTCTGCGACGGCCGCCAGGACTGCGAGGACGGCGCCGACGAGCGCAACTGCTCCGGTACGGAACATTCGTCTTATTAGTGTGTGAGTGCGATTGTTGCTTGCACGCGCCGGATGGAAATGGTGGTTGTGACGGTGCGTGTGACGGGATGCGGCTTCAGACACGAAACAAAGCGAGGCCACTCAAAAGTTTATTAATTAAAAATTCAAACATTCACGGGGGAGCTGTTGGGAAGCGCAGCAGGCATTCCGAACATGTTGCGCATTCTTGCAGAGCTCACCTCACAGCGCGTGCACGGCGAATGCGGAGGTTCGCATCATGCCGACAATGTGATGCAGTGAAACATGCTTCTTTTGAATTCCTCCCGACATGTGCGGTCGACAGAGTGCCCCGACGGCCGGTACCAGTGCGACGGCGCGCGGTGCCTGCCCGCGGAGGAGCGCTGTGACGGCGTGCCCCAGTGCCGGGACGCCGCCGACGAGGTCAACTGCACAGGTGGGACAGAGAGACGAGCACGTCATGCCAGACACGGACGGCCGACGACACGTTCTAAACTATTTACCGCGCACGGCGGCGGCGCAGAGTGCTCGGAGACGGCGAGGATGTGCGGGCCGGGCCGCTGCGTCCCGGCGGCCACGTCCTGTGAGGCGCGGCCCGACTGCGACAAGGACGCCGACCACCCCGCCTGCCCCGGGGTAGCCGCCACCGCCGCCACCGTCTACACCAACGTGCAGGCCGCCGGCGTCCAGGACGTCCAGGACGCGCAGGACGCGCAGGACGAGCCCCGCGGCCTTTACCACCAGCACAGCCACGGCAAGCTGCTGAGCACAGGTGCGCCAGGTGACGCCTCTGCTAATGGCCCCAGTGGCGCACCCTCACTGGCTTCACCCCCACTCCCCCATCTCCCTCTCTCTCATGGCGCGGCGCGGCGCGGCGGGGCTCGCTGCCAAATCCAGGTGAATTGAAGGGTAGACGCCTTTATTCGCCAGCTCGCCCCACCCGCTTCGTTCTTATGTTCCAATCGATACTTTTTCCCGCCGAGCGGGGCGTACCCGCCGAAACCTCTACCCGCCACGCCACCCCACGCCGCGCTAGTTTCCCCCGTCTTTTTCCGTTGACACCATTGCGTCAGAATCGCCACCCTGGGCCACTTATGTCATGCATCCTCGACGAGCGCACGGGTATTCCACCGCGATTTGATTCCGCCCAGTACTGCTTCGGAGTGCCGCAACGGTACACTGGTTTTCGCTCGATGAGGCCAGATAGCGCCTCGTCTCGCGGCCATCGCGGCGTTCGAGAGGGCGTGAGGGGGGGGGGTGTCACCTTCGGTACTCCGTGTGCCCTCACCTGGCTTCCGCCGGGATTCGAACCCGGGGCGTCACTGGGTGAAGGGCAGCTGGCGGCGGGCGCGGGTGGCCCGCCACTCCCGGACCTGCTCGGCGGCCGCGCTGCGGACCTGCTCGGCGGCGAGGAGGAAGAGGGAGGCGACGACGCCGGCGCAGAGCAGCGCGGGGGCGAGCCAGACGTCGGCCAGCGCCACGGGGATGACGCTGCCGCGCGACGCCTCCGCGCACAGGCCCTTCATGTCCGGCAGCACGCGGCCGCGCCGGCCCCGCGTCCACAGCCCCACCTCCAGGCGGCGCAGCGCCGCGCGCCAGCTGGACGTCCACGCCGAAGCGAGCGACAGCAGTTCAAAATTCATGAAACAATCAGGGCGGTAGATTCGCTCGGGGAGTGACGAAAGCACTGGTGGTTTACCGGGGGCCAACGCCGTGCCTGTCGGGCCCGAAATGGCATACGATCATGTGTGGTCTAGCCCTTAATGGTAATGGTAATGGTGCCGGTAGGCAACAATCAGCCGCGACGCAGCGCAGTGTCGCGGGCTGCCTACGCCTGGTCGGCAGGCTGAGTGGAGGTAGGCCGCCCGCGACACTGCCGCACCTTAAGCCTCCTCTCTCACCTGGTGGCGTTGCCTTGCCGCAGGGGCTCCGGCGCGACGGGGAGGGTGAAGGCCGTGAACTGCAGCTGGCACCACAGCATCGGGCGGCCCAGCTGGCGCACCTGCAGCTGCAGGTCCCCCGTGTCGGCGCAGAGGACGGTGGCGCGGTACGACAGCAGCGCCGCCAGCCCCAGCCGCAGCGGCAGCAGGCGGGCCGTCGGCGCGCTCGCGGACAGCGTCTGCGGCACCATCAGCATCGCCACCGTGTAGTTCAAGTGCATCAATAAAGTTCGCTTTCCATCTTTCCACACCCGGCTCTTGATTTCCACCCTGACCTTGCGGAAAAACGGAGAGTCCTGCAGCACGAGGGCCGCGTCGCGTCGGCGGAGCAGCTCCTCCAGCGGCAGCACGGCGGCGGAACGCTCCGACGACACGAGGGACGTGACGGCGGCGGAGAAGGCCACGTAGCACAGCACGGCCATCATGAAGAGCGTGAGGAACACGAGGCGCGCCGCCAGCGTGTCGGGGTCCCTGGAGCAGCCTGCAAATCGCATGCATGGAAACGATTTGGTGCCGGTTGGGTTGCCTGTCTGCCGGCGCTCTTTGCTGCCCTGGCTCGGGTATGCGATTCCCAACACTCGTTTGGGAGCAGTGGCGACTCAAAGTAGGGCAAAATGTAGACGGGTGTCGTGTCGCCCTGACTGGCCACTCACCCTGCTGGCAGACGGCCCCCACCGTCACCAGGAGGATTTCACTGCCCTCCCAGTGCCA